CTGCTGTATTTTGTAGTTTATTTACTGTTAACACTTTAAATTGAGGTATTTGGTATTTTATTTTAAAGTACATTCCAATGTGTTGTTGCCCATCCCTGGTTTACAAAAAAGCTAACAAAGCATTTTAAAACTTTTTTCCCCCCAAAAAAACTCTCCAGATTTTTCCGCAGGCGTCATCAGCTACTGTCAAAGAGCAAAATTCTGGGGATCTGCCAGATTCTACCAATACACATAATGGCGACTTTCTAAAAGTCGGAAATGAACAACAGAAATCTGAAGTCGTGGAATCCTCAAGAAATATGTTCAACAATACCAGCGCAGTCCCTTTCAGTGAGAAATTTCAAAGACATGTTTCATATGTACAGTGGCCCTCAAATAGTTTTTAGCATATGTAAGTCACATATAAAAAGGTACCATATGTATAATGTTGCAAAATGACAGTTGTCAAATGTTACCATTAACAACAAGGAGTGTTGTGTTTTTTAAATTGAGATTTTATAACCTGAGAGATTAATAAACAGGCTTTCCATTGATGTATACTTTGTTAGAATTTGACAATAGTTGTCCAATTTAATTGAAAATCTGGAATCTGAGGGTTCACAAACATAAAAAATATTTGTCTAAATGGAAATCTTAGCAATGCACATTACTAATCAAAATAGAGTTATTAAATATTTATTTTTACTAAATATCTTCATGGAACATGATCTTTACATATTCAAATGATTTTCGGATTAAGAGAAAAATGGATAAGTTTGACGGTAACACTTTACTATAAGGTTCATTAGGTAATGCATTTACTAACATGAACTGATCATGAACAACACTTGTACAGCATTTATTAATCATAATTGAACATTTACTAATGCATTATTAACATCCAAGTCCATGCTTGTTAACATTAGTTAATGCACCATGAGTTAACATGAACTAACAATGAACAACTGTATTTTCATTAACTAACGTTTATTAACATGAATATATACTGTAGTGAATGTATTGTTCAATGTTTGTTCATGTTAGTAAATGCATTACTTAACATTAACTAATGAACCTTATTGTAAAGTGTGACCAGTTTGACCCATAGAATGTATTTTTGCCTGTTGCAACTTGATACTGATTTTGATTTTTTTGAACTTTTATTGCAATTACTACTACATATGTTTTTCTGGTCAAGCTTTTGTGAACTGGATGACTAATATACACTACCTGACAAAAGTCTTTTCATCGATCCCAGTTGTAAAAGCACCAAATAATAATGACTTGATGTCTAGTTCATTATTTGGAAAAGTGGCAGTAGGTAGATTTTTCAGATGAATCATCTGTTGAACTGCATCCCAATCATCACAAATACTGCAGAAGACCTATTAGAACCCGCATGAACCCAAGATTCTCTCCGATATCAGTCAAGTTTGGTGAAGGAAAAATCATGGTTTGGGGTTACATTCAGTATGGGGGAGTGCGAGAGATCTGCAGAGTAGATGACAACATCAACAGCCTGAGGTATCAAGACATTTGTGCTGCCCATTATGTTACAAACCACATGAGGGCAAATTCTTCAGAAGGATAGCGCTCCTTCTCTTTCTTCAGCCTCCACATCAAAGTTCCTAAAAGCTAAGAAGGTCAAGGTGCCCCATTATTGGCCAGCCCAGTCACCAGACATGACCATTATTGAGCATGTCTGGGGTAAGTTAATGGAGGAGGCATTGAAGATGAATCCAAAGAATCTTGATGAACTCTGGGAGTCCTGCAAGAACGCTTTCTTTGCCATTCCAGATGACTTTATTAATAATTTATTTGAGTCATTGCAGAGATGTATGGATGCAGTCCTCAAAGCTCATAGGAGGCAGACACAATATTAACTCTTTTTCCACTGCACCATGGCTTTATATTCTATACTGTACAATTCTTCTGTCAGACCAAACTGTCCTAAATAAATAATTAAAAATCAAGGCATGATCAGGTTTTATTTTGGTAAAACAAGCATAATCTTGAGGCCTTTGCCGTTCATATAAGCCACTTCTGATACCAAATGATTCACTAGAAGACTTTATTATTTGTTGTTCCTAAAACTTGGATAGGCGGCAAGACTTAAGGTAATGTAGTCGCAGGAACAAAACTGATCACGGTCAAGGGTCAAAGGCAGGTTTTGAATCACAAATGTATACAGTTTTGATTAGTTTTTTCCAAACTCTATTGTGTATCACTCTGAATACGTGGACCATTCTTTGATACTTCTAAATATTTTTTTAAAGTTAAATCTGGTTGCTATTCACTGCCATAAAGAAGTTGAGCAGGAAATCTTTTAATTTCTTCTATTGTAGCAGCACATGATGAGTAAATGATGCTAAATTAGTTTGAGGCCACTGTAGATGATTTTATAAACATTATTGTCGTAAATCAAAATTATTTGCGTAATCATTTCCTTATGTGTTTTTATTGTTATTATTTTAAAGTCTCCATGAGCCCGAACGGTAGTGTCCACTTCATCCCCTGCCAGCAGAGATATGAAAACTTCTCTTCCTGGCCTAGGTCTCCCGTGACGCAGTTTGCTGTTCACTCCAGGAATGGCACTTACATCGTCTCTGAAAATCAGGGCCAAGGTAATGACGTCATGGTTTAAATCATCATTTAGCTGAGATCATGGCATTTTATAAATACCGTTATTAGGATATTCAGACTAGTAAAACGCATTCATAATTACAATCTTGTAATGTACAACTTGCTGCTGTATTACATACAATGTTTAGGACTCGATAGTGTTGCCATAGAAATACATAATTCTGAGGCTAAAGACGTGAGCGGCTCTAAACAGAATGTGATGTCATCTTGAAATTACAGTTATTACAAAATGACATCAACACAGGCAGATATTTTGGAATATTTTTTGGTTCAACAAAAAAATCTAATTTACTACATGACTTTAAGATGACTTTTTTACATAGTGATACATTAAAGATGATTTTAAGCTATTTTCTATAAATTAATCATAGAACTTAAATTATTGAAAATTTAACTACTGAAAATTAAACACACACACACACACACACATATATATTAAATATGGGTTTACATTATAAAATATAAAAAAATGTAATACACTTTTTTCCTTTTTTTGGATCATAAAAATGATATTTGTTCATACTTTTCATTATTTTGCGGACAGTTAAATTCATTAAATATAAATTAGCAAGGATTTTATTTAATGCTTTTTTATTTAATTCTTTATTTAAAGGTTATATTTAACTAATTCAAAAATGTAAATGTATATATGTGTGTATATATTTTAAAATGTAATTTATTCTTGTAATAGAAATTGAGTTGTTAGCAGCAGTTTCAATCTTTGTTGTCACATGATCGTTCATGAATCCTTCTGTAGTCTAAAACATCCAGAAAAATTGGGTACAGTGTACTCTATTAATATAAAGGAATTTTTGGTGTTCAGGCTTTTTTTTTAAAGAGTAATATACATTTTAAAATAGAATATACAGTTTTTAAAAATATTTTCATTAACAAAAAATTGAAAACAACCACATTTATTTTTTAAAATGCATTTTTAAACCAAGCCTTGCCATGAAAAAACAATGTTTTCACCTAAATAGCAAAACCCATATGCTGTTTGTGTAGACTTCTAATTTACAGAACTGTTAAAATACTCAAAAATGTCTCTGTCAACATTTTCAAACAATTTATTTGATTTACCAAAGTCACACAAGTGCCACTTCACATCTGTCACATCCGTAACGGAGGAATGTCACATCCATAACGAAGGTTTTTCCTCATAATATATATATATATATATATATATATATATATATATATATATATATATATATATATATATAGTCTTTATTAGTATTATTTTTTTTGGGGTTGGACGATTTGACTCACAGAACTTCCACAAAGTATGTTGTATATCGTAAACTGCCACACTTTTTTGGTCACATCCATAACGCATATTTTTATTTCCCTAATTTAAAGTATAAATCATGTTTACAGTAATACACAGTAATTACAATTGATTATTTTATGATCCCTTAACTCTGTGGCTTGAAACAGATGTTTGCATATACCGCATATATAGTTGAAGTCAGAATTATTAGTCCCCCTGTTTATTTTTTCCCCAATTTCTGTTTAATGTAGAAAAGATTTTTCCAACACATTTCCAAACATAATAGTTTTAATAACTCATTACTGATAACTTATTTATTTTATCTTTGCCGTGATGACAGTAAATAATATTTGACTACAAATTTTTCAAGACACTTCTATACAGCTTAAAGTGACATTTAAAGGCTTAACTAGGTTAAATAGTGTTAACTAGGCAAGTTATTGTAAAACATTGGTTTGTTCTGTAGACTATCAAAATAAAATTAGCTTAAAGGGGCTAATAATTTTGACCTTAAAATGAATGTAAAAAAATAAAAAAACTGCTTTTACTCTTGCCGAAATAAAACAAATAAGACTTTTTTCCAGTAGAAAAAATATGGTCAGACATACTGTGAACATTTCCTTGCACTGTTAAACATCAATTGGGAAATATTTAAAAAAGAAAAAAAATTCAAATAGTGGTTCTGACTTCAACTGTATGTTCTTTGTGAATTCATATTTCGAGTTTTTACTTCTGACAAATGTCACATTAATAACACTGGAATTCCTCAGTCTTTAATGAAGTTTGATCTATTTGATGCATCCTTGATTAATACATGTATGAATCAAGACATCATAACTAAACATATAAGCTAAATAACAAAATGACACTGTATATAATGTATCATATATGTTTAAACTCATAATAGAAAGTCCTATGCACAGGAAGCTTTTCAACAAGCTTTTGTAGTCCAGCTCACTGTCTGAGATGAGAATGGCGGAGGAGGAGGGAGGGAGGGAGAGAGAGAGAGAGGGAGGGCTGGCTCCGCTAGCCACTGCGTTACTGACATCAGGAGGCTAATGATGTCATAGTGATGTCAATGGCCCCGACAGTGACTGCACACTTAGCTTGTGGTTTGGCCGGCATTGCATTCTGACAGCAGAGAGATACAGGCTGACTTTCAGCTCTCTATACATGGCTGTGACCGGAGATGAGACAGAATCAGGTACGTCTGCTATGTTTTTGTGCGGATTGTTTTGTGCTTTAACATTGGGAAGTTGGTTTGAATAGTTTGAAATACTTCGGTAGATTTGTTTGGGTGTTGTTAGTCAGAGATTTCATGCTCAAACAAAACTTTGAAGAAGGAAAAAGACATCAGACCTGACTCTGGAATCATTTTTCCCCATTATATTCCCACAGTGAATCATCTCTGCGGCATGCAACAGGCTGAAAGAATGACATTTTTCACAATTTTTGGCTTTCTTTATAGTTCGCTTATTTTTTTCAGCACCTCTCTCTCTCTCTCTCTCTCTCTCTCTCTCAAATGCGTGAACTGCGCTGCCCACTCAAAGTGCAGCCGACGTCATCTTGTTTCCTGGAATTGTACACCAGCAGGAAAATGTAAATGCTGAACGGCAAATGAAATGTACATTGACGTCATTCCAGAGTCATGTTGTGATCTCAGGCCGAGCAGATTATTCATCTCTCAGACTGGAGCACGGTCTCCACGGAGACCAGATGAATCATGTACAGAAATCCTCTGCACTGATCATAAGCTTTGTAAAACTGTTTCATTTGTCTCAATTAAGAGAAAACTTTTGATCCTGCAAGTCCCTCATGTGACCTGCCGCTCATTTTAATTTGCGACCGTGAGCTCATAGTTTGTGGCTACAGGGGGAAATTGAATCACTAAAGCTTTCATAATGGCAGGATGGTCGCACGTTGAACCATGGATGAATATTTTATTAGTGTGTAATTCAGTTTATAACCACTCCATGAGCAGATCTGTGTATGATCTACGTCCGTGCCGGACTCAGAAAGAGCTAATCTCCACTGGATATTAATTGTCTGCTTATGGTCCTTGCAGACATTTGATTCGGTTGAACTTTAGGTTTGTTTACATGGTGATAGTCAAACAGAGCTTTGTGTCAGTGCGATCTTATTTAATCTATATAATTTAATTAAATCTATTCACTATTTTAGTTAATGCTTTTAAGAACGTTGAAGTGTATTGATACATTCTTGCTTGAAATTTGAGACAAATGCCAATACGTCATTGCAGATTAACCACACTGATTACATTTGCTGCTGGAGATTAGCAGTTGCAGTTGTCAACCACAATGACGTCTAAATGTCACCACACTGATATGTGATATGTGTTGATTTTACCAGGCTCGGTCGCAAAGTTTTGATCACATTTTTTTCCATAACAAATAGGTCACTATTAGTGTTATGATAACAAAAAAGATTGAGTAACTCATTATACTAAATTTCACTAAAATAATTTGATGTTTTTGTTAAGTAAAATATTAACTTAGCTATGCAGTGTGTTTATTTATTGATAGATAGATTGGTTGGTTGATTATTTGGATTGATTGATTGATTGATTGATTGATTGATTGATTGATTGATTGATTGGTGTTTGTTGATTGATTGGTTGGTTGATTGGTTGATTGGTTGGCTGATTGATTTGTTGATTGATTGATTGATGTTTGTTGATTGATTGGTTGGTTTGTTGATTGATTGGTTAAATGATTGGTTTGTTGATTGATTGATTGAATGAATGATTGATTGGTTGTTCGTTGATTGATTGGTTGGTTATTGGTTAGTTTTTTGGATGATTGATTTGTTGATTGAATGATTGGTTGATTGAATGATTGATTGATTGATTGATTGATTGATTGGTTAATTGATTGGTTGGTCAGTTGATTGATTGGTTGATTTATTGGTTGATTGCTTGGTTTGTTGATTGATTCATTGATTGGTTGATTCATGGATTTTTTGATTGATTGATTGATGTTTGTTGATTGATTGGTTGGTTGGTTTGTTGATTGATTGATTGGTTTAATGATTGGTTTGTTGATTGATTGATTGATTGATTGATTGATTGATTGATTGATTGGTTTGTTCGTTGATTGATTGGTTGGTTATTGGTTAGTTTTTTGATGATTGACTGGTTGATTGATTGATTGATTGATTGGTTGGTCAGTTGATTGATTGGTTGATTGCTTGGTTTGTTGATTGACTGATTGATTGATTGATTGATTGATTGATTGATTGATTGATTGATTGATTGATTGATTGATTGGTTTGTTCGTTGATTGATTGGTTGGTTATTGGTTAGTTTTTTGATGATTGACTGGTTGATTGATTGATTGATTGATTGATTGATTGATTGATTGATTGATTGATTGATTGATTGATTGATTGATTGGTCAGTTGATTGATTGGTTGATTGCTTGGTTTGTTGATTGATTGATTGATTGATTGATTGATTGATTGATGGATTGGCTGATTGATTTGTTAATTGATTGGGTGGTTGATTGATTTATTGCATCTGCTGTGTAAAACATATGCTAGATAAGTTGGCGGTTCATTCCACTGTGGCGACACCTGATGAATAAAGGGACTAAGCCGATGGGAAATATTTTACACATACCATATATTGACATAAATGTTTGACTCATTTCATTGTTTCTTAAGCATGTTCAATCTACTTGATCAATTAATTACTCTGCTTCTCCTAATTCATTTATTCAGAACTGTTGATTTTATGTACAGTATATAACCAAGTACATTATAAGTAACTTTAATTAAATTACCTGAAAATGAAAAGTAGAACCTTACTTGATTTTTTTTTCAAACAAAATGAAATACAATTACAGTAACTGGTTACTTTGTTAACAATTACACCTAACATCATGTGTGGGCCTAACCGTAATATTTTGTCTTACATGCATAACCATTCATATATATATATATATATATATATATATATATATATATATATATATATATATATATATATATATATATATATATATATATATATAATGCATATATTTTAGTATGCCTTTAGGGTCCAAATACTTTCTGAGGTACTTGTAAATATAATCAGCATAGCTGTAATGTCCAGCATAATGTAACCATAAAAATAACCACAACAAAGCACTCCCTCTGCAACAAAGAGCTTGTTCTCTGTGCCAAAAATGCAAAGTAAACTGTTCCTCTGTAAATGAATGTGCTTGTGGGTTTTTTGCAGCCACCACTGGAGGTATGTCAGGATATCAGATGTCCTCTCCTGCATCTGGTCTTTCCCAGGTCATGGACAGCTCACCCGACTCTCTGCCCAGCCCTCAGCTTCTGGCAGAGGAGGCATCACGCAAAAGGGAACTCCGACTGATGAAGAACAGGTAATGCTCAGACACCTTTCTCATTCTACAATCGACAGTAATTCTTATAACAGCTCATTCTTTCTGCATGCTAAAAAAAGCTAAAATTTGTTGTTCATTTTCTCTCCCTTAAGACAATCTTAGATATAGGTTAATATTTAAGATCATTTTTTATATTTAGTGGTCCTTTGTGATTTATAAAATGCAAGTCAATGGCACTTTTGATAGTAAACAAAACATATACAGGCAAAACTAAATTAGTGCCTAAATATAATAAACTCGCATGGTTTAGAAAATGTATGTATAGGCTGCATAATCCAGGAAAATATAATATTTATGAACGATACAACGGTTTTAGGGTGGTTCGAAAGACCCACCCCTCACTGACAAAGGTGCAGAGTTTGTCCCATACACAAGCTCATTTGTCATATTTTGACTGCTATGCCATAATAAATTGTGAAAATAGCTATCAAAGAAGGCTTTAAGACCAAGTGGAATCCTCTTTTGGCTGTTGCCTCAGCGTGACTGAAAGGTGAATGTGCTGGCCAGTTTGAGTTTTCCTAATATATGACAATAGCTAGTTTTTTTATTTAAAACTTGAGCAGCATCCTTTTTTCTGATGATATACTGTATGATGTAATAATTTTGTATTTGAAAAATAAGTATTATTCTCATATTTCTTTTCTTTTAAATCTTTAGGTTTTTGGTACATCACAACATGTGGTTGATGACCATCTGGCAAAGTATTCCAGCAAAAAAATAGTGCTTAAAAAGTATTTAAACCTCATAATTAAATAGAAAATGAGGCTAATAACGGCAAAAGGTCCATATTTTAAGAAAAAAAGAACCAATCCTTTCACCAGGCTGGCTACGGACCTGTTCTGTCTCTTCATCTGATTGAATTTCAAAGGCAGCATATATCTTTCATTGGTTTCAATTTCCCACAATCCTGTTCGTTTCAGACAGTTTAACTAAAAAAACATGGCATCTCTAAGTGCCACATGGGTGTCTTTTTGTATGTAATTTTTTTTTTAATTCAAAAGTATTTTTATTGAACATATTAGATATGAAACATTATGTATAGCTTTTCACTTTTACTTTTTTTTACACAACAAACAAACAAAACCTGTCGCACACATAAACATTTAGGTTCTATAAAAATATATAAATTATATTAAGATGAAATACAAATAAATAGTAATATTAAGTAAAACATATGTTACCCTTATATATAAGGGAAGGAAAGGAAAAAAAATAGAAAAAAAACAAGGAAAGGTTCTACTCTTCTAAAATGACTGAGGGGTTCATTTTCTTTATGTGATTTAAAACATAAAAACATATCAGTACGGCCTCCTACAGTATATCGTATTTTTCTAAGGTCAGGTGGTGTATAAGTTCCATAAGCCATTGCTTAAAGGTTGGAGGAAGTTTTTCCTTCCATTTCAGCAATAGTAATCTTCTAGCTAAAAGCGTAGCAAAGACAATCACATTTATCTTGCTTTTGTTAAAACATAAGGACAGTGGTGAGATCCCAAAAATGTAAATTATGGCCTCAGGTTCTATATAGGTATTTAATGCGTCCGAGAGAAATGTAAATATTATCTGCCAGAAATCCTTTAATTTTGAACAAGTCCAAAACATATGAGATAGAGCAGCTGGCTCAATGTTACATCGGTCACAATTAGGTTCTATATTCGATTTAAATTTAGCTATAGTTTCACTTTGGACCAATGTAGTCTATGTACTACTTTAAATTGTATAACTCTATGTTTTAAACAAATTGAAGATGAGTGGATATTGTCTTAAACCTATTAAATGTACATTTGTGACCAATGTTATTTTTTTATGGTATATTTTAGAGAGAGGTTATTAAGCAAATATTTTCCTTGTTATTATCCTCAAAACTCTCTCTATTTTGCTGTAGATGATTATATTATTAGGCTGTCTCAGAAGTCTCTGAAATCAGTTTTACGAGGTGTCTTCATAAACAAACAACAGGGCAGCTAAGTCAGCTTTCTGGTGCAACTGAAAGTAGGTGTTGACTGGCATTTCATGAATCACCAAGGGCCACATTTTACAAGAATCTTTAACGTTTTGCTGAAGGAATTAGTTACCCACGTTTTTGAATAGCCTAAAGCAGGTCGCACACCAGAAGCGCTGCTCGGCGCCGCGACACGGCGCGCACATGACAGTTTAAAGTATCACACACCAGACACGCACATTCGAATGATATTTAACATGAAACTAATCAGATGGCGCTCTGTGGCGCGGCTGAAAAATGAACTGCGTCCTGAGCCGTGGACGGGCGCCGCCGACAGCCGCCGACTTGTGGCGCCAGTGTGTGTATCCTGATAGAAACCTATGTTTAGAATTTTAAAATGCGTGGCGTTGCGCGGCGCACTGCCGAGCGACGCTTCTGGTGTGCGACCTGCTTTAGGGTAAGAAAATTAACAGTAACATTTATTTTGCCATAAATTATCCCTGCGCATGTTAATGTTCTTTATTTGCATGCAGAGTAGGGCTTCATTGTTTGATGAAACGTCCCTTCATCATGCTTGTTTAGTCTTGAGAGTGTCAAGCATGTGCTAAAACCTGTTTTTTTTCATGATGATGCTTGAGAGAGAGTGGAAAAGCTCAACCTCAACTAAACAAGCACTCATTCAAAACCCAGAGTTTTGCTTTCACAAGCTTGCCCGGATGATGTTCTGCAGTTTTAACTCTCATGAACTGGGACCTGTAAACACAATGTAAGATTTACAGTATTGACGCTCACCGAGCCTCTCTGTTGTTGCTTCCAGGGAAGCTGCCCGAGAATGCCGGCGAAAGAAGAAAGAATATGTCAAATGTCTCGAAAACCGAGTTGCTGTGCTTGAAAAACAAAACAAGACGCTCATCGAAGAACTCAAGGCTCTTAAAGACATATACTGTTGCAAAAATGAGTAACACTAAACTAAAGACTGGTCCGACCTTTACAAAGCAAACATGCTTTTCACCCACCCAATGTCCAGCCTAATTGCGTTACAATCGGATAAGCTGACATCTGCTTGGTTATGTCGTCCCGTGTGCGAAAGATGGTGACGTGTGATTGTGTGTGCGCTGGAGGCCTAAGTCAGTGTGATGTGTTGCCCCTGTTGCTTGTGCTCTTTGCAGGACGGCAGCCAAACTGTATAGACGCAGGAAGAGAGACTATGTGCTGGGTTTAGAGACGCGCATCACCTCGATCGAGGACCAGAACCAGAAACTTAAAGAGGAGCTGGACAATCTAAAGAAGTTGTGCTCTCTGGGATGTTCAAATCATAGTAGCACACTGGATGCTGCTATTTGATTTCTATTTAACAGTGGAATATTTTAGTCGTGTTTTGTTCAAATCTTTTGGGAAAACTGAACCAGATACCAGCACTGCCTATGCGTATACAGTTAAAAACAAAAAGATTTCATAATGACAATTGGATGATATATTCAAAATAATTACTTAGTTGACAGATCTATTTTAAGTAAGTGTAATTGAATATTTAAGTACACAAATACACCAGCTCCGAAACTAATATGAGTATAGTTACTGCATATATTTCTTGAATTAAATGTAGGCTGCAGAGATAGGTTGTATATATTAACAAATAACAGTATTTTGTGTTCTTTTGGTTGTGTTTATGGCATATTAATCAAATAAATGTGCCAAATTCTCTTAAAAACAATAACCAATATATTCTTGAAACCTTCCTTGTGAATACTTTTTAAGTCACACAGTCCTTCAGAGTCTCCATAGAGACTATCAGCACAAATTTATCTGTTTACTGTCTCGCATATTTACATAGCCTTTGTTCAAATAAATTGATCTAGGACTCCACTTGATGACATTTTGGCGTTGTTACTTTATTATGAAGACTTTAATAATAACTGTTTATTTATTTATTTAGGTAAACGTTTCACAGCAAAGTCATAAATTACTGTGACGTATACAGAATTACATTTAAATGTTATCTCTATTTCCAATCACTTACAGGGAGTGTGGGGTAAAATTACTTATGAAAGTACTGCATTACAAAAGGGGTTCCCAATCTTTTCTGTGACCCCCAAAATACAATGCCAGTGGTTATAGATATGCAATATAATCCTTGCACACAACAGTGCACACATACCAATAGGCCCAAGTTTATTCATTAATTAAGTTTGAAGAACACCACTCGGAGATCATCCTCCATGTTCAGATGTGGCCTGTATTAATTTTTAATGTACATAAGTGCTGTAAAGGTGTCAGAAAGTTTAACCTGGTGCCATAAAATCAGTGTGCTGCATTTGACACTATTTCTGTGTCTTTCATATGACGTAATCACCACAGGGGTCACAACAACAACAACAAAAATCGAAAGGCTGATGGCTTTTTATTTGCATGTTGTTTTGTACTGTTTATTATTAACATGCTAACAATGTTGCTATTAACTACTATTTTGTTCCTCAGTAGGTTGTGGATACAATATGGTCATTCTAATAGTATAATAAAATAAATTAGATTTTTGGTAATCACCAAGCAACCCCTCCTCATTGTCCTACCACCCGAGAGGGGTCTGGATGCAGACCTTGTGCAGTGCAATCTGAGCTGCAGCCAATGCTTTTTAATGCGCTCACCTAACCCCACCCCTAACCCTACCCATCACAGAGTAGTCACTTGCTTCATTGAGTGCGTTGTGTCTGAGATTGCATCGCTGAGTGATGCAATCTCAGCTTGCATCATAAAGACTGCATCCAGATACTATTGCACCACCCTGCAGGGGGTCCCAACCACCACTTTGGAAAATACTGCATTATAATAGAGTTACTCCCCTAAAAAGGTCATTTTTTTTCAATTCACCTTTATTTGTATAGCGCTTTTACAATGTAGATTGTGTCAAAGCAGCTTCACATAGAAGATTATCGAAACAGTGTCAGTTCAGTTTTTAGTGTTTAAGTTCAGTTCTGTTTAGCTCAGTTCATTGTGGTTTGATAATCACTGAGAGTCCAAACACTGAAGAGCAAGTCCATCGATGCGCAGCTCTACAGGTCCTGAACCATGCAAGCCAGTGGCGACATCGGCGAGTAAAAAACTTCACCAATTGGCGAAAGTGAAGAATTAAAAAACCTTGAGAGAAACCAGGCTCAGTCGGGCACGACCATTTCTCCCATGGCCAAACGTCTTGTGCAGAGCTGCAGTCTAATCAGTCTCATACACTTCACTCCTCCATGACCACCACAGCAGCTGCTCAGGATACAGCCTGGTCTAGGATTATGGAAACTTTGGGATCATCTCATCGCTGGTCTTGGATCGTATCAGTGGCGCTGCATAGTCTCTAGGGGCCTCAGGGTGAGTATCTCCAGGTAGAAATAGAGAATATGTTGCATAACAGTTACTTTTAATAAGTAATGCGTTACGTTACTTTTGAGTTTACTTTTTCTGAACTGGCTGAGGCTTGATCTCTTTCAGAACTCGCAGGATTTTTTTCTTCTTCTTTTTTTTTAAATATAGGAGCTCTGAAATGAATGCACCGTATAGCCTAAACCTTCATTTACCTAAAATGTTATTTACCTAAATAAATAATAGTGTAGAATAAGATCTTCTGGGAACTTCCTGACCCTTGAGCTATACAGGTAGATGCTATATACAGATTAATGAAAGTGTAAAGCAGTGTGTTTGATACTTTTGTTTTTTTTTTTTTTGTCCTATTAGTGAAGTAAAATCACTGTCCATTAAGACAATGCCCCTTTCCCTTTCTTTGATGCATTCAGAATAATAAGAATACATCCATCACAAAAATGTACGGCTCTGCCATCTTGGTTTCTGTCTGTTCCTGCATTCTGTGGGATTCAACGTGACAATGTTCTTTTTAACCCTATAAAGCTGCATGTATCATATTTGATACACAGGTTGCTAAGACATATAATATCAACCTGATACATTTTTGGCTTGAAAACTGTTGAATATAATTTGATACTTGTATTTTGCCTTCTTATGGATTTTCATGACAGTGCAAACAGTGGAAGGGCTTTTTTTATCCTTTCAAAATGGCTGGTCTCATTGAATTACTCACGTGCTTTTTGGCTGGAAACTATTTGCTAATTTCAAGTTGTTATATAAGAATACATTTTTTTATTGTTAATAATTTGATTAAAAAAAGTTTTTTTTTGACTGAAACAATGCATAATTACTTAATAATCAATTCCTTATGTTAATAATTTTGTTGAAATTCATGTTTCGAATTTGATACAACATATAAAAGGTGCTTTATTCCTGAACAATCATGTCCCATTTTTTCTATATCATACCCGCTACAATTCAAACACACAGTATTTGGATGATTTAATTAATCTAATTGGCATTGTGGGTATTTTTACAATAATTGCACCTAATAAAATGTCAAGCTGCAGTGCGCCTTTTTATGTTAGAATGCAGGAGACGGATCATTTTCCAACATGTAGAAACCTGGCAGAGATGAAAGCACTGCTCCAGCAGTCACTACAAATGTCTGTGTAAAGTGAATCTTTGCATGAGCAAGGACTGAAACTGCTACTATGCCTACCCCAAAGTGAAATAATAAAAATGTAACTGTAAAATATTTAATGTAACAATTCAAAGAGGAAAACTGCCTGAAATGTTCTGTTGTCAAAATGTTTGGGGCAAAATAATTTTTTTGTAATTAAAATGAACATTGTTTTGAGCAAAAAGTTTTGGCCTGATGTATCAAATGTGATACAAAATAAATATCATGAAGAAAAAAATAAAAACTTTTTTTTTGGATTTTGCTAGATGGTTTAATAAACATCACAGTCCCAGAAAATTTTAATTTTCTGCCTTTTTTATATTTCAGGGTTTACAGGGTTAATTTAGCTTTTATAAGATAATTCTTTTAACTAAAAGTAATTTGCATAACATTTTTTAAAAAATAAATCAAATATTGTTAGTTAATTATTAAAAGTAATGCGTTACTTTTTTCGTTTCTTAGAAAAGTAATATTATGACATAACTCATGCGTTACCCCCAACACTGGAATAACGTTGATTGTTTATTGATACTGTCTTAATTTAATTTTAATTTCTTATTATTATTCCTGCCTCCTAGACTCAATACATGAACCGTATCATAAAAAACAGCATATCTGGTGCATAAACTAACAATCTTTGCATCTTTTTATTTATTTATTTTTTATTTTTTTATTCAACAGTTGCACATTTTACAAAAATGTAAATCTCCATTATAAACAAAACGAATTGTTCAAATTCCAACAGTGCAGGTGTTTTAACATAAACAAAACATAAACAAAGACACACATCATCACATTTTGCCAGGGGAAGTACTGAGTTACAAAAAGATATCAAAGTGTTTACAAACAATCACAGTTTTTGTAGCTTTTGGATTAAGAGAATGCTTTATTGAGTTGACATATTGCTTGACCTCATTGTTAAAAGCAATAAAAGATGTTTTGGAATTCACAAATTTACAATTATAAATGTAATATTTTGAAAAATGAATGATGAGATTCATAATGAAAGTTTCATCAGGCATAGTCTTAGTTCCGCTGAGGTCACAAAGGCCAAAGAGAACATCCTTCCAAAAAAACTTGAAATATTTCTCAATATTTTCTCCAATAAAGTTGTAAATGTCAGACAAAATTTGGACAAAGGGGCAGTGCCAAAACAATTGGGCAACTGTTTCAATATTCACAAAACCAAAAGTGCACATTACATCAATATCTTTTTGTTGACAATATGATCGTTTGTCGGGTGAAAAATATGAATTATCTTAAATGATATTTCTCTAATTTTATTGGTCAACAGGTATCGGTTGGGTTAGAGCCAGACCTTCTTCCAGTCAATGTTTTGCACAAATTTATTCCACTAACCACATATGGCACTGTGATAATATCTGCTTTTAATAGGAATCTAATTTATTGGAATCAAATTTATCTAGTTTATTGTTCTTATCATTGTTACAGGAAAAACAAATCTTACCAACTGAAGTGTCAGTCAGCGATAATAACAAATTTAGTTGTTTTGTGTTCAATCTTGGTTGAGCTCTAAATAACATGCAGCCACCAGAAGAAATTGCTCCAAAGACTTTGCCAAAATCTCCAGGAGACACAGGAATTGTGTATTCTTCTAAAAACTCGATATATGAGTAAAGACAACCAGCCCTGTTAAATAATTGATCAACAAAAATAATGTTATTATTAAACCAGTAATCAATAAATAAAGATTTGTGTTCATACAGTATGTCTTTGTTGTTCCATATCTGTAATATTTGTTGGGCGAAAGGTTATGCTTGAAAAGGTGAGACTGTGAAAGGAAGGCCTGGCGGTGAAAGGATGACACTTTTTTTTTTTTATCAGAACTTTATCAATGTTGTAATTACAGGTTAGGAAAAAGCTCAACCCACCCAGTTTTGACAGAATATGACAAGGTACAACATTTCAAATAGAGTTATGGTTTTTAAAGAAATGTTTCAACCAATTTACATTAAAATTATTATTAAGAGTACAGAAATCAATCAAGTTTAATGCACCCTTTTCATAGTCATTTGTTAGAACCGACTTCTTCACATGATGAGTTTTATTTTTCCATAAGAAGTTAAAAAGTAGCTTGTCAATCTCAGTAATGTGTTTTTTGTCCACATACAGAGATAGAGCTGGATATGTTACGTGTGACAAACCTTCTGCCTTGTTTTAAACAACAGATACATGACAATATAGTAAACAAAACAATGCCAGGGTGATAGAAAGTAAATAACAACAATACAAAAATAAAAAATAAAATAAAATAAAACAAATATAAACACAAGATATAAATAATTAGCTAAAATTCTTACAAATACAAATAAGCAGGACCTTTATATTAATCAAAAATATTGAAACTAGAGCACAATTGGACAGTTTTAATGGCCTTTCGATTAGCACTATGCTGAATAGTGCAAAAGTAATTTTTCAGTTTCTTATAAAACACAGTAAAACAAGTTTTTTTTGTTGGACAAAATAGACTTATGAATATGAAACTTAATTAACAAAATAAATAGGTTAATAACAAGAACTTATTCATATGTTATATGTTATTCAAATTTTCATGATTAAAATATCCAAAAATTACGTTTTCAAAATGCAGATTAAAATTAAAAAGTACCTCTTTCTTTATAAAAACAGAAGCATCATACCAAAAGCTATATAACCATAGTGCTAAAAGATGTGGGGTACAGTTTCTAAATGCAAAGAACAAAAAGAACATTTTATATCAATTTCCCTTTTACATTTACTGAGAAAATGTTTAATCGGTTGGAATTTATGAATTAGTTTACATTTTTTTTTATGTAACCAAAAATTTGTGAGACAATGACCAAATAGTTTCCCATTTAGGAATTCTTACAAAATTATTCCAATAGGTAATAGCGCTAGGTTTGGAAACAACTTGGTTTAAAAATAGAGAGCGAATAGATTTGTTATTAGACTGTGAGAAACAAACCACACACTGTATTAACCAGACTGATTATGGGCTTATGAATCCAAGTTCCACCTCTAAATAAGGAAACAATATTAGAATTAATTGCAGAGAAAACAAGAGGACATTCTTTGGGAGTTACAGGAAAGTTCAAATGTACAGTACAACCTTCTGCCTTGTTTTGCCTCAGGCATTAATCTCTGTATAGTAGACACGCCCACTCGTCGTGTCTGTCATAATCATTGACTGCGCATGCGCTTTACACAGCCAGCAAGGCGACGCAACGGTCCTACTCCCAGAAGAAAAGTAGGAATCAAAACAGAGGAGTGCCTTTACATAGTAATGCTTTCTGTTGTTATTTTTAATCTACTTTCATAACTACCTCCACAAAGCATTGAAGATATTGACACAGACAAAGAAATAATCAAGAAAGCGTCGAAACTCTTACTTCAGTTTCGCATTCAGACGCAAGCTACTAACTAGCGTAACAACAACCCAAGGTAAGTTAGTTCACTTATTCAGACATTTTGAGCCATAAAATTGAGTTCCTACATTGTAGTGTTCCTGTAACGTTCGTTGACTCTGTATTTACGTAGCTAACGTTTAACGAGTATTGCATAATAGGTTATGACATCATGCTAAACGCTGAACATCAGGAGAAGACCAAATCTAATCTGTTCCATTATCATGAAGTTGGTTTTATATTTGCACATTTGTTCAGTGACAACTCGTGACAAGCTCCCTATATTGTTTACCATGGTACTTTGAATATTCAGCGGTTCTGAAGTCACGTCATGTAAGCATAATTTCAAAACAACATTAGCACTAACGTTACTTATTTGACTGTGAACAATGTTGTGCTTTGATAGTCATTGGCTGCTATTAAGGTTTTATTATTTATAATTTCTGAAACTGTATGTATATTAACAAGGAGAAAGCCAGAATGTGTGAATATAGAACCACCGTTACCTCAATATATGCTCCCTATGTTTCACAATTTTCAAAAGCAAAAATATATTTATAGTATGGACTTGTAGTATTGGATATAATGTTAATAATCATTAAGAAAAACCCTATTTTGATCGGTGTGTGTATTCTGTTACTTTATTTCATTGTTTATTAAAATATGTTTCGTATAACTCACTGTTAACAATACCAATAAATGCACAGTGTTATTAATAGTTTGTTATAACATAAAAAGTATTAGGCCAAGACCACTTACGAATTTAACCATGGTTTTAGTATACAGGGTCTCTGCGAGATCTTAAAAAGTCTTAAAATGGCTTAAATTTCAAAAAACAAATTTTAGACCTTAAGTTGACTGAAATATTGTGTTGTAGGTATTTTAAATTTTGTTCATTTTCAAATCTTTTAATTTTAAACGGGTCTTAATTTTCCATGTAAAGCTATACCTAATTATGTACCCAACATAAGGCATGCATGGGACCATAACAGTTTTTAAGGTATACCGCGGTTTGGAAAAGTCAAAGTTTTAAAACTGTCAAAATTTTCTTCTATACTGTTCTTAAGGTATGTGAAGATTTTTTAAATTGTGTTTTGTGTGTGTTTTTAGGACAACAGTATCTCCAGCAGAAAATATATCAAAAGATGCCATTTTAAATTGTAAAGAAATCTGTTTTAAAAAACAAATGAAGACAGCAGAAGTCAATGATTCGTATTGACATGTTTACTAATGTTTAAAGGGGGAATAAAAGTTCTTGTTTTTTTACCTAGATATTGAAAAAGAATATATTTTAGAGTACTAGTCACAATACTGAGATACTGTGAAACCATGATATTTTTTAACAAGGTTATCATACTGTCAGAATCCTATATCGGCCCTACCTATCGCCTACACTCATCCAATCACTAACAATATATTTCAATAAAAGTTTTAAGAAACATTTATTTATTTACTCTGTTTGCCTATTAATAGGGTTTTAATTATCTTCCTTGTAATAACATTTGTTTTTAATGTTAACTTGGGCTTTAAAAAATATTTAGGGTTTAGCCTTGTGTAAGACTGAAATTTCATTCATTATGGTCTTAAAATATGTCTTAAAATGGTCTTAAAAAGTTCTAAATTTGACTTAATGAAACCTGCAGAAAACCTGGTATAGTTAAAAAATTAACTGTTTGTTTTGGCATGGATGACCATTGGGAATTGTTATAACCGCAGTTTTACTTAAAATGCCATGGTTAAACTATGTTTAGTGTAGCAAAACTGGCAATCTTTTTGTTGACTATGCTTTAACTACAATAACCAGTTTTTATTTTATTTATAGTAAAACCATGGCTGATTTTCAGAATTTATGTTTCCTTAATGACATACCACTCTATGGTCATTTGGGAAGTACATTGCAATTCCCAAAATACTACTATGCAAAATGCTAATAATTTAGTTTATAAGAAAGCACTTCTGTATATTATTTCCACTACTATTCTTTCTGCATTTCTCTTATTATGGATCTATTAGAAATCTTAGAAAGGTTAGAAAGGTTTTTTTCTTCACTCCCATCAGGTGAAGTTTTTTTTCCCTCTCCGCTGTCACTGGCTCGCATGGTTCAGGATTGGTAGAGCTACGCATCGATGAATTTGCTCTTCAGTGTTTGAACTCTCAGTAATGATTAAATCACACTGAACTGAGCTAAACTGAACTGAACTGAACTGAACTTAAACACTAAAAACTGAACTACACTGTTCCAGTTACTATTACCATTTATGTGTAGCTGCTTTGACACAATCTACATTGTAAAAGCGCTATACAAATATACAAATAAGCTGAATTGAATTGAATTGAAATCTTTGATCTGACATATGTTGATTGCATTTGTTTTTAGTGTTTTTTAAGGGTTTAGCTTGGCCATTAAAAAATCCTAAGGGTTTAGCCTTGTGTAAGTCTGAAATTTCATTCATTATGGTCTTCAAATGGTCTTAAAAAGTCTTTAATTTGACTTGATGAAACCTGTAGAAACCCCAGTGTAGTAAAAAAAAAACATAAATAACCGTTTGTTTTGGCATCGATGATTTGTAAGTGTATTTGTAACCACAGTTTTACTTATAATACCATGGTTAAACTATGTTTAGTGTAGCAAAACCAGCATTATTTTATTGACTATGCTTTAACTACAATAACCAGTTTTTATTTTATTTATAGTAAAACCATGGCTGATGTTCAGAAAAGTTGTTTCCTTAATGACATACCACTCCGTGGTAATTTGGGAAGTACCTTGCACTTCCTAAAATACTAATATTGAAAATGCTAGTAATTAAGTAAAGCACTTCTGTATATTATTTCCATTACTATTCTTTCTGCATTTCTCTTAGTATGCATCTATTAGAAATCTCTGATCCGTGGTGAGATCTGACATATGTAGACTGCACTGATATTAAGTCAAGTTTTCCATTTAGAAGCCTTCATTGTTCCTCCCACACAAACGCGCAGACTCCTCACACACACCTCCTCTCTCGCTCAAAGTTTCTGTTTAAATGAGTGTAGCCTTCAGCTTATTCTGCTCAAAACACACCCTACTGTACTAGAACAATCCCTGTCAATCACTGCACATGCCTTAATCACTCATACCACTGTATAATTCACATTTAAAGAGCATTATACTGTTACAATTACATTTTTATTATAAATGGTTAGCCTTCTGAATAAATAGTAACTTTGGTTTTATTGTTATTATATAGCATATTTTAGCCGTTTGAATTTCCTTCAGAGATTGGGAAACTGCAAAGCTTATTTCCCCCCTATTTGGGTGAACTATCCCTTTAAATAACAATATGGTTAAGATAGTTCATTAATTTTTTTTTCCGGCTTAGTCTCTTTGTTAATCAGGGGTCGCCACAGCAGAATCGCCAACTTATCCAGCATATGTTTTACGCAGCGGATGCCCCTCCAGCTGCAACCCATCACTGGCAAACATACACTTCCATTCACACACGTACACTAAAGACAATTTAGCCCAATTCACCTACAGTTCATGTCTTTGGACTTGTGGTGGAAACCGCAGCATCCGGATGAAACCTACGCAAACACGGGGAGAGCATGCAAACTCCACATAGAAATTCCAACTGACCCAGCCGAGATTAGAACCTGCAACCTTCTTGCTGTGAGGCGATTGTGCCTCTGCACCACCCTGCTGCCTCCATATTAAAATATTTAAAAGAAAAATAAGCTCGCAACAGTAAATTAATCCTTTATTGATTCTAACTTAAACCCTTTTATACATTGATATTACTTTGCTACAAAACCGGTTGGATGCAATCAGAATGTGTTCTGACTAGTTAGACCAATCAAACAAATAATAGCCTGAGAAAAATTCTGTTACACTATTTGTTTTTAAAGTGATAGTTCAACAAAAGTTTAACGTTTACTCACCATCAAGTGTTTCCAAACCTTTATGGGTTTCTTTGCTCTGTTAAACACAAAAGAAGATATTTTGAGAAATGTTGGAAACATGTAACCACTTACATCCATAGTCGGAAAAGTACATACTATGCAACAGTAAATAAATCCTTTATTGATTCTAAAATAAACTTTATACACAGCTTGACTCTTTTGCTACAGAACAGGTTGGTTGCAATCAGAATGTGTTCTGACTAGTTAGACCAATTAAACAAATAACTAGCGTTAGAAAAATACTGTTACACTATTTGTTTTTAAAATGATAGTTCAACGTAAAATTAAAATTTACTCACCATCAAGTGTTTCCAAACCTTTATGAGTTCTTTGCTCTGTTGAACACAAAAGAAGATATTTTGAGAAATGTTGAAAACCTGTTACTTCCATAGCCAGAAAAGCAAATACCATGGAAGTCAATGGATATAGGTTTCCAACATTTTTTTAAATGTCTTCATTAGTGTTCAACAGAAGAAAGAAACTTGATTTGGGTCAAGTGAAGCTGAGTAAATGATGACAGATTTTTCACTTATGGATGAACTATCCATTTAACCACTGCATGTCTAGGTGTTAGCTAATAATAAGAAATTAAATACATTTTCATACTTCTTTCTGGCATGCTAATAAAGTGGTTATAGAGCACACAGCATGAAATCTTATCCAGCATAAATGGAAACACAAACACCACTGGATTTTCCTAATATGACCCATTGTGGCTCATAAAACCTGTTATCACAAATGCTTTCAGTTCCCATGGCACATTCATCCGTTTTCCATCTAATGTTTCCATATGAACAGATCAGCTCAATGGCTACAGCATGTGTGTCCAAGGTGGAGCTGACAGTCTCCTGTGAAAACCTGCTAGACATGGATGTGGGCTCCAAGTCAGACCCGCTGTGTGTCCTGCTCATGAACACATCTGGAAACCAGTGGTTTGAGGTCAGCTGACTTTTTGTTTGTTGTGCAAATTGTTTAAGTGTTCATTTACTTTACTTGTTCCAAACCTTTGAGTTTCTTTTTTTTCTGTGAGTTAAAGATACCTGGAAACCTGTAACCATTGACTGCCATAGTATTTGTTTTTTCTACAATTGAAGTCAATGGTTACAGGTTTTCCAGTTTCTTCAAATGTTCTTCTTTTGTGTTCAACAGAAGAAAGAAACTCATAAAGGCTTATAACCATTTTATGGAGAGTAAATAGTGAGCCAGTTTTTTTTTTTTTTGGGCAAACTATCCCTTTAACAATCTGATTCTGTGTTTCTTCACAGGTCGACCGCACAGAGAGAGTCAAAAACTGCCTGAACCCAAAATTCGCCAAGAAGTTTGTGGTCGATTACCACTTTGAGATCGTTCAGAAGCTCCGATTTGCCGTTTATGATATTGACAATAAAACCATTGATTTAAGTGATGACGACTTCCTGGGCGAGTTGGAGTGTTCGTTGGGTCAGGTAAGACCCAAAACAGCTGCTTTTATGTGTGTTTATACCTTCCGTGGCTTAAATCTGATGTGGTCTTTTCATTTGTATGTAGATTGTTTCCAGTAGCAGACTGTCAAGACCTTTGCTGCTGAAGAACAAAAAACCTGCAGGGAAAGGAGTGATTATGGTAAATGGCCATGATATTTAGAACAATTACCACCATGAACATTTTGTTTGTTTGTTTGTTTCTTCAATAGGATTGGTATGGATTAAAGGGCAGTGTTTCCTCTAGGATTTTTTCCAGCTGTGGCGGCAGACTCTGTTAGGCCTTTTACATAGATCTACCAACTACCTGTGGCATTATTTCAAATGACAAATGTCATGAGCGCAGTATTACAAGTCGAGATCACATTCATGGAAAACAAGCATGTAAATCTTTGTGGTTAAGCGCCGATTTCCTCTGTTCGTGCACAAAACTTCTTGCACACCCTCAAATACTCAAATATACGCTGCTTAAGTGCAGATCTTCTTGTGCGCTCTCAAATAAACTCTGCTGAAGGGCGATTTAGTACGTTTATGTAACAAGTATTCCTCCCATATTTATTAGATTTGCTTGGTATATTCATAAATGTCTCCAATAGACCTACAGATCGGTATTAATGCATCCTGAAGTAAAGTGAAACGGCTATAAACTCCAGCAAGATTAAGTCATTGTATGCAGAGTGATAGACCTTTATCTATTAAGTATAATTATGGAAACTGATTCATAACTGAAAACTATGTCGTGTTTTGCTAGCCTCATGCATTACACACCTGTCATTCAGTCAGTCAGCACGTCACCTTAAAGGGTTAAATAAATAACGCATAACACCACTATGATTACAGAAAGATTTGCACTGTTATAATTTACTTACCTTTTAATTACATTTTGTTGCAATTATAACCCACTATGTAAAAAAAACGACTGAATGTTTTAAATGAGAAGCTGTAATGTAGCCGTGTCGGGATGAATTTTGGTGTGGCATCCCGCCATGGAAGAATGAATCTAGCGGAAACCATGAGGGAGTTAGTTCACCCAACATTTACTCACCCTTTACTTGCTCCAAAATTGATTCAGTTTCTTTTTTTCTGTTGAACACAAAGGAAGACTTGTAGAAAAAAACTGGAAACCTGTAGCCACTGAATTGCATAGTATTTGTTTTTCACACTGTAGAAGTCAATGGTTACAGGTTTCTAACAATTTTTTCAAAATATCTCCTTTTGTGTTCAACAAAATAAAGAAACCTATAAAGCTTTGGAACCACTTGAGGGTGGATAAATTACTTAAAGTAATAGATTACAAGTTACTGATTACTAATGGAAAATTGTAATTTGATTGCATTACTAATTACTTCATGTAAGAAGTATTCAGATCACTAATTACTTTTATGGTAAACAAAATACAAAATAAACTGCAGCTCTTTCAGTAATTTAATATTCACTAAAAAACATTGCAATAGGTTTAACACTGCAGCTTGACAAATTCAAAACATTTAAAGAGAAATTCTCTGATCATTTACTTAATCTTCACTTGTTTCAAACCTGTTTGTCTTCTCTTTTTTTTTTTTTTTGAATGCAGAAAACATTTTGAAGAAATCCAGAGAGCTGTAACCATTGACATTTATAGCAGCAAAACACAGCCTATATGTCTGTGTTTGTGGAGACAAACAGTAAATGCTCAAATGTTGAATATGTGATCGCGCCACGTGTGCATCGCTCAAATATGCTGCGCGTACAACTTCGTTATTTCCAATGGAGGCACACGCAGCACACTGGGAGCAATGCTGAAAAGATGCAATATGTTAATAGCCCTGTAGGCAGCTACGCTTCTCTTCAGATTTTCAAAAGTTACTTTCACTCCCGGTGCTGCACAAAAATCCAATTTAGCCTGTTTTGCCTAAGTTGGGCTGCTGTGTTTTTGGGCGTCAGTGTCCTCCTCGGAAAGAATGCTTTCTGTTCTGTTCTGGACATAGAGTGCAGTTCACAGCAATACGTTTGTTTTTACGCTCAATGAAATCAAAGTAATGTGTGATTTCTTCCACTTGAAGAAGCAACCAATCTCATCAGCAACCATTTCAGCTTACGTCCTCCAGCAGTTTAAAAGTGAATGCTCATTAACTGATGTTGCAGCTGAAAACGTGTTTTAGAAAAATGCAAATGTTGTTTTCCAAAATCTATATTTGTAACGTTAGTAACACCAGTGCACTATCTTTAGTAAGTGTAATCAAATTATACACATTTAAAATGTAATTCTTACATTACTGCGTTCTCCAAAAATGTAATTAGAATACAGTATTGCGTTACTGTGGAACGCGTTACATCCAACTCTAGTAAATAGTAAATAAATAGACATGTTTAGGTGAACTGTCCCTAATGGCAGAATATAAACTTATGGCAGTTATTCTGTCATCACATATACACAAACACAACCATTAAAATTTTTGGGGTCTGTAAGAGTTTTTAATGCTTTGAAAGAAACTCTTCCCAAGGCTCCCATTATTTTCAAAAGAATCCAGTTAAAACTAAATAAAATAATATTGTATTATTGTACAATTTTTGCTAATATTTTTTGTCATTTATCTGTATGCTTTGATATATTTATTGCATTCAAGCTCAATAAAAAAATTATTATGTTGAAAAGTATGAGGGTCAACAAACCTGGTAATTATTTATTGATTACAGTTAGAATGTCTGTCAACCAATCAGTCAGTAAAATGCTGAGTAAAATCGGTGAGTAAAATGCTGGTTGGATTAGATCATGACTTGTGATGCTTTAACAAATTGTTTTAATTTCCCAATGAGAAAAATGTATACTCCCAAAGGACTTTCTGCTAAAAAAAGTGTACTCTTTATTGACAATAATAATAATAATAATAATAATACAAATTTTTCTTTTTTTTAAATCACAGATTAGTGCAGAGGAAATCAAGGACAACAGAGTTGTAAACTTTGAAGTGGAGGCCAGAAAACTGGACAATAAGGTAAGACACAAGATGTGAGATTGTGGATTTGATTTACTATTAAACTGTTAAATGCTTTCAGTGTCTAAATTTAAGCCTTGTTGTTGCAGGATTTCTTTGGAAAATCAGACCCATTCCTCGAATTTTACAGGCAGACGGAAACAGGCTGGCAGCTTGCTCACAGAACTGAGGTGCATTGTGTGTTGTGTTTGTAAAGTATGTTCTGCAATGTAAAAGATGCCTCACAATTCCTTCTTGTTGTCCCAACACAAACCAATAATGTTAATTTAATCGTTTTTACAAATTTAAGTTGATTGTAAACATAACACTATTAAGTCATCCTCTAAAAATACTTAAGAATTGTGTTGTTTCAACTCATTTTAAATAAGTAGTTTGAACAAGCAGCAAAAGTCATTTTTAAGTGAAAACTGAGACTATTTTAGGTTTGAGGTCTCCTACACTAGATTTACATCCGTCAATAGTAGAGGTGCCCAAAGTAGGCCCTGCGGGCCAACGATGGCCCTGTTGTAACCTTTGATTTGACTCACCACCCCATCTGAGAGGAGAGTGAGAATGATGGAGAGGGTTGGGGTGAATGTCTTCAACATAGAGATTATCATTTCTAATTTGACACATCATTTTTTGTTTTATACAAAAAAGGCAAACTGAAATTAAATGTTTTAATTAAATGTTGTAAATGAATAGATTTTTTAAAATGTACATACTATCACATGACGGAGAGAGGACTACACCGAAGGAAATCAGGGCAAAAACTAGTGTAATTCTGTTAATAATGAGATTTTGTTCTTACTGTAAAAAGTTCATCATAAAATGTAACAAATACTTGATTAGTTAATGTAAATAAATGTTTTCTAGTCATTTTTAAACATTATTAAATAAATTATGAATTTACCCATGGCAACTATATTTACCTTCGGCCCTCTAGCAATCAATCAAGTTTGGTTTTTGGCCCCTTATAAGAAAAAGGTCTGGACACCCCTGGTCCAAAGTCACTATGTAGCTTAATTTTATCAAAATGTACATTGCTGAATAAGCACTTTTCTTCTTTTGTCTAAATTGGATGGTTCAAGAATCCAGTCTATATAAACCCCGCCTTTCCGAGTGTAATCTCTGCTCTGATTGGTCAGATCATGGCTCAGTCTGTTGTGAATGGTCCAGCACTTACAGTTGTTCACTGACAACACAAAAAGAGCATAGACTGGCATTATGCAAATTTGTTACAAACCATTCAATTAATAAACAACCTGTTTTTGTCTTTGTCATGACAACTTGATACTACCAAGACAACAAAACTTGTCATAAATCTGTCATAAACATGACTGTCATGAAGCCATTATAAACGTCATGAATCTTATAACATCATTATTAATGTTTTTTGACCTCAACTACAGTGTACAAGCTGAATTTTTTATTAAAATGTCATTAAATATTAATGACGCTGTTAAAAATGATTTGACAGAGTAATGACACTTTTAATGTGACAATTTAATGACATATACAGTTTGTTCCACTGAAAAGGTGACCAGAAAATTATTCATGACACAATTATCATGGCAATCATGTTTATGACAGATTTATGACAAGTTATCTTGCTTGTGTTGTCATAGCAAAGATGAAGACAGGTTGTAATGTATTAATTTATGTCAAGTAGTCATAACAATGTCCTATGAACACCCCTTCAAGTAAAGTGTTACCCAAACCTATATACATACCATACATATACATATTAAATGTTACACTACAGGAAATGATAGATCTGAAAAGCATTAGTGTACTTACTATGTTAATAGTTATCTTTCATTTTAGGTGAAGGAAATTTTCCACATACATATTTTTAGATGGACTTTTTTTATCAGTCACTATTTTTTATAACCCATTCAAATGTTATGGGTACGGCTTGAATATTGCCTTATATTGTTTTGTTTACAGTGAACTCTTATCTTTTATTCAGGTGGTGAAGAATAATTTGAATCCTTGCTGGAGGCCTTTTAAAATTCCTCTACGCTCTCTCTGTGCAGGCGACATGGAGAAACCAATCAAGGTAGACGCTGTGTTTGTTACTTGCTATGAAAGGTATTTTCCAATGTTAAAAGGATCCCTGTTGCTAACACAATTGCTAGCTTAGAGGCTTTGAAACTCTAGCTTTGCTTGGCTTTTTTGGTGGCTTACAATCAGTGTTCATGACTTTGTGATTTCTCTCGCAAAAGCATCTTAAAGGGAAACTCACTGTCAGGACGCCACCAGGTATTTGCGTTTGTTAGAACTTCTGTTTCATGCATTAATGTGTGTGTCATTGAATAGCGTCTGGTGTGATCCATAGATCAGTAGACGAGAGCTTTTCTGTCAAACTGTTGTTTCCTGATGAAGGTCATTATTATGGTCATAATAATGAGGTCACAGTGTTCATGTCTTTACTCTTTAACTACTAGAGTCGCTCTCAGGAAACAGTTTCACGCATATCTGCACATTTTAAACATTTTCAGATTTTAATTTTAAAGGTTAAAGATGGACATTCAAGAAACCATACACTTATGGAAAAATAAAGTAATGGATGAAGGTGAAATAATGGGTTGAAAAAAGTATATATATATATCTCATTTGCCTCTAAATAAACAAACAAAGACCACTGATCGCTCACTTACCAAATCTGTAGAGACAGGACAATCAACACCAACTGGAACCTCGTCTTTATTAAAGGAGATGAGCGGCAAATCTGGATTTAGCCATTTTCTGATGCGAAAAAGCTCTCGGGTAAAAAATGTTCCTTAGACATAATTTTTGTCAAGCGTTGCGTGCACTGTAATCCACATGTGAGTCCAGCTACGCTCTCATAGCGGGAAAATGAAAACCAAACCTTTAATGCAGCAAATTATAAAAGCAACACTGACAACCTGTATCTGCAACCAATTATTCTTCTCTCACTTGTTTTGGCAACACAACGTGGCGTCTCTCTGCCGTCTGAAAACTATACAGGTACAAACAGTCTTCGAAGCTATCATGCATATTAATGAAGTTGCACCGCATGCACAATAGAGCGCGTTGATTGGTTTGAACCAACTCTTACTCATGAATGAATGCAGCAAACTCAGAGACGTCACAAAGTACTCCCAGGTACAGACAGCCAGTCTACACGCTGGAATACACACAAGGATCTAATCTGCGTGATGCAGCTTCAAAAATTTGTTTTCAACCGGAAGAACGAATTTGCTCGAAATAACGCAAAAACAACCAATTTTCACCTTTTTGTGAAATAAATGTGTCCTAATAGTGTTTTTAGCAGTGTGGGACACATATATGACTGTCAACAGCTCCAAAAATGTGTTTTGATGTTTCGTGACTCTTTAATATGGTAATAGTTAGCTTTCATAATAGATGAAGGACATTTTCTAGAAATATATAAAAGAAAACTGTAAAAAAAAAAGCAGAATACTGTAATATTTCAATAGAATCACTTTTTATTTATCTATTACTATATTATCATTTCCTTCGGCTTAGTCTCTTTAGTGTTCAGGGGGCGCCACAGCAGAATGAACCGCCAACTTATCCAGCATATGTTTTACACACGGATGCACTTTTAGATTTAAACCTCAACTGGATGTTTTCATTCACTCGAGCTGTGTTACACACTGCATGGAAGGTCGTTTTCGAATGTAAGATGTTTCAATTGTTTTTATTAAATTGATTACATTACCCATTCAACAAAATAAAGATTAGTCATACAAGTCTTTATTATGCTCTTTATAAAACATATCATAGAGCCATAAAAGCAGTGTGCAACTATATCCGTATATACTATCCCACTATAATTCACACATAAGGAGATTTACGCCATTTTTCTTAAGGAAAATGCTAAGCATATTTAATTGGCAGTGTCGCACAATAATGATCTTTCAAATAATTGAGTTTTAGATGGCATGAAATAACAGCGTTGAAATGAAACTGAAGTAGAAATACACACTTTGTGCTGCTCTTAAAGCTGCAATAGGAGTTTTACTGTTTTAAAAAACAATAAAAACAGTTGGACTCACTTTGTCTGATGTGCTCAGAGCAACCATATACATGTCTCATAAAAATTGTGAAAATTAAATCATCTTAAACTGCTAAAAGAGGTCAGTATTTATAGTCAAATCATTTTGGCTACCACTATTATATTCATTAATCATTCAACTGTAATGATAAATAATAACTGACTTGGTAATATTGTTCATTTCTGCATTTCAGTAATATTATAAGTGACCCTGTTTCCTCAGAAAGACTCGCTGTTCTGGTAAAAGATTCAGAGAAAACACAGATGCTACAGGTTTCTTCATTATCTCTAACCTAATAAACTGTGGACAGTGGAGATGGCAGGTCACCCTTAACATCTAGAATCCATGCATTCATTATAGAGTTAGCCTGCTTGCTGTGCTTTTTTGGTGTCTTACTGGCTTTAAAATTAAAGCAACTGTAGATCTGTTCTCATCTATGGTTCTTCATCTGATGGGCTTTTTTCTTTTTTTGCATGACCTCTCTCTCTCTGGCTCTCTTGGGGTAGGGATGGACTATATCCCAATATTAGTTTATTATGCGATAATCCATATGTATTGTCTTTTTCTAATTGTTTAAAAATTGATTCTTGTCACTAAAAATAGGGAGTTGAGAGCACACGACGTAATATTAAATTAATTTTTTTTTTTTATTTTTATAAAAAGTTTCATTCATACTGTAAGAGCATAAACTCCACATGTGCATCACAGTAGTAAAGACAAGCATAAAAAGAATGTAGAAACACTGGAACATAAGAATAAAAATAACACACAGTTGTTGTTTTCCAAGATCTCCTAATAGGTATTTTCATAAGAATAAAGTATATTTGTAATGCAGTGCTTATCACTATAATCAATTTAATCATTACTATAAAATAGATATTGAAAAAAAAATGACATAGCATGCTTGAAATTGTGATATTCATTGTGTAATACAGTTGTATAAAAGATGTTATAATGATCAACTTATGTTTTTATATTATTTCAGTGAAAAGAAAGCATTGCTACATCCAGTGTTGGGGGTAACGCATTACAAGTGATGAAAGTTACGTAATAAATTACTTTAGTAATGAGTAAGTAATGAGTAATAAAAAAATAAGTAATAATATTTGAGGTACGTTTTTAAAAATATAGAATCCAAGTTACTTTTTAGTTTAGTTAATTTATTTTTTAATTGCTAAACTAAAATGAACGTAGTTGCGTTGAATCCCGCATGCAATGAGAGAATGCAGGAACAGACAAAAAGGAAGATGGCAGAGCCTTAATTTTTGGATTGACATATCTCATTATTTTGAGCAAATTAACTGAATGGATTGTGATTTTACTTTTTATTAAGACGAAAAGTTCAAAATGGCAAAAGCACTGCTTTAAACTTTCATTTATCTGTATATACAGTGCATCCGGAAAGTGTTCATAGCGCTTCACTTTTTCAATGTTTTTTCATGTTACAGCCTTATTCCTAAATGGATTAAATGAATTTATATCCTCAAAATTCTACACACAATACCCCATAATGACAATGTGAAAAAGGATTTTTTGAAATTGTTGCAAATTTTTTAAAAATAAAAAACCTGAAATATCACATGTACAGAAGTATTCACAGCCTTTGCCTTGAAGCTCTAAATTGAGCTCAGGAACATTCTGTTTCCACTGATCATTCTTGAGATGTTTCAGCAGCGTAACTAGAGTTCACCTGTGGTAAATTCAGTTAATGTTGACAGTTGGACATGATTTGAAAAGACATATGCCTGTCTATATAAGGTCCCAGGATTGACAGTGCATGTCGAAGCACAAACCAAGCATGAGGACAAATGAATTGTCTGTAGATATTGTAACAATATTGTCTCGAGGCACAAGGCTGGGGAAGGTTACAGAAAAATTTCTGCTGCCCTGAAAGTTCCAATGAGCACAGTGGCCTCCATCATCCATAAGTAAAAGATGTTTGGAACCACCAGGACTCTTCCTGGCCTGCCATCTAAGCTAAGTGATTGGGGGAGAAGGGCCTTAGTCAGGGAGGTGATCAATAACCCCATGGTCACTCTGTCTGAGCTCCAGCGTTCTTCTGTGGAGAAAGGAGAACCTTACAGAAGGACAACCATCTGTGCAGCAATCCACCTATCAGGCCAGTATGGTAGAGTGGCCAGATGTTAGCCACTCCCTGCCTGAAATTTACCAAAAGGCATCTGAAGGACTCTCAGACCGTAAGAAACCAAATTCTCTAGTCTTTGAAGACACTAAAATTGAACTCATTGGAGTGAACGCCAAGTGTTATGCTTGGAGAAAATCAGGCACCACTCATCAACAGGCTAATACCATCCCTACAGTGAAGCATGGTGGTGGCAGCATCATGCTGTGGGGATGTTTGTGGAAAAGTCAGGATTGAGGGAAGGATGAATGCAGCAATGTACAGAGACATCCTGAATGAAAACCTGCTACAGAGTACTCTTGATCTCAGACTGGGGCAACGATTCATTTTCTTTAGCAGGAAAATGACCTAAAGCACCAACATATCAATGGAGTGGCTTCACAACAACTCTGTGATTGTCATTAAGTGGCCCAGCCAGAGCCCAGACCTAACTCCTATTGAACATCTCTGGAAAGATCTGAATATGGCTGTACACTGTCGCTTCCCATCAAACCCGATAGAGCTTGAGAGGTACTGCAAAGAGGAATGGGCAAAAATTCCCAAAGACAGGTGTGTCAAGCTTGTGGCATCATATTATTATAAGTATTAAGCAAATGCTGTTAATACTTGTGTACATGTTATATTTTAGGTATTTTATTTTTAATAAATTTGCAACAATTTCGAAAAATCTTTTTTTCACATTGTCATTATGAGGTAATGTGTGTAGAGTTTTGAGGAAATAAATTAATTTAATCCATTTTGGAAGAAGGCTGATACATAAAAAATGTGGAAAAAGTGAAGCTGTATGAATACTTTTCGGATGCACTTTACATCATGTATATCCTACATTTTGTATGTGCTTTTTAAAGGCAAAGGAGGGTTATACAGTGCGTTGTTAATTGCAGCAAAAAAAAACTGCAAGTTTTGAAAGAGATCAAGCCTCACTCAGATCAGAAAAAGTAACGCAAAAGTTATTATAAAAGTTAACTTATTATAAAAAGTAACACAACTAGTTGCTTTTTTGGGGGAGTAGCTCAATATTGTAAAGTTTTACTTTCTGAAGCAACTTACCCCAACACTGGCTACAACTTCTGAAATTGAACAGCCATGATTTATTGCAGTATAAAACAAAGCATAAATTGGAAGGAAGTGTACAAAACAAATGCTAAATGAAATATTACCATCACTTTGCTCCACTGGAAAAGCTTTATCAACCTGAAAACATAGAGTGGTCTACTCTTAGAAGTTCATTCAAGTTTACAACCACAAGTGTGAACAAATGGTGAGGAAATGTTCATTTTTGGGATAACTCTCTTTAATATATGTTACTTTTATATTAAAGCTCTCATTTATTTCAAACCATTACAATTTGTATATTTTAGCATGCACATGTCTGATTCAATACATGTCTAGTTATATATATTTGCATAGCCCTAAAAACATAGGGCGGATTTTATCAATAAATCCTAAAAACCATAAGATATCGCCCATCCCTATTGTCTGAAACCCTCCGTCATTCAAAACCTCAGATCACTTCATACTCTATTTTATGGTCTGACTTTAGGTGGAGTGTCATGATTACGACAACGATGGATCTCATGATTTGATTGGGATTTTTGAGACCAACATGAAGCGTCTTGAAGCGGCTTCTCGCTCGGCTCCGGTGAGCTTCTCATTGACACACATTTGACATCAGTGCATTTTGAATGTCTGAAATGTGAAAACAAACCCAATCTGCGTCCTACAGGCGGAGTTTGAGTGTATAAACAGCAAGAAGAAACAGAAGAAGAAGAGTTATAAGAACTCTGGAGTCGTGAGTGTGAAAGTTTGTCAGGTATTGTGTCATGTAAACACACTGGTTTGATTGAGGTTGTAACATTCTACAACAAACCCAATGTTGAACACTTAAAGATGTGTTTGTGCTTGCTATTTCAGATTACTAGGGAGTACACCTTTCTAGACTACATCATGGGAGGCTGCCAGATAAATTTCACTGTAAGTTCTACATTCGTTTAGTGTTCTATGTAATGTATACTATTTATGTTTATATTACAAGATTGTTGAATGCTTGATTCTGATTGGCTAATAGAAATTGTAAGGCGTGCAGTTGTTTTCAGATAATCGCACGGCTAAATTACAGTTCCATATCACTACGCTTAATGATTTCAGCTATTTCACAGTTCAATAGTATGGTTCTTTGTAGGGCTGCATAATAAAACGTTTCTGCTTAGATATCGCAGTTTGATCGTTCGCAATAGTCACATCACAGAATATGCAATGTTAAGTCTGGATAACGATATATGCTTTTGAGGCCTGTGACAGTTTTTTTAAGCATTCAGGATTTTAAAAGCATTCAGGCATAAGAAATCGTATTGTTTGTAACTTTAACCCTTTCACGCATGACTTTCAAATACTCCATCTGACCCTCCTTCGTGATTTTTTTGTTACCATTACTTAGACTTCATTGCATTCTAAAGTTTCTATGTTGATGCATCAGGTTTATCTCGTGACCCACCATGTATGTATAAATCATATTTAGTTTTTTTTGTCCTTTTCTGTAAGTATAATGATAGATTTATTTGTAAGATGACGGGTAATGGGTGATAAATGTTGTTTGTTTGGAAGCACGTATTAAATAAATTGTGATTTATGAAAAGTGCTGCGCACCTCTTTCTGTACCTAAGCGCACGCCATCAGATTTGAATTTTAGCAGTTAATGACATGTGCTCTGAACTTTCCAATCACACTGGTGTGATCGTATGCTTCAGGGACCAGCCAAGGCTGATCACACCAGTGTGATCATACACGTAGAAGGGTTAACAACGGTTTGAATTAAACTGTTTTAAAATATTTATACAACAAAGACTATGCAGTATTTTTTATATTTGATTATTCAATTACTGTACCAATAAAACTTTATTTTATTTGTATCTTTTTCTGTATTGTATTTATATTTCTCTCTCTCTATTTATTTATGCTCGTAGAATGTTTATTATATTTTATGCAGGATTCACTCCCCTACAAAATCATTCAAACCAATCTAAAACAAACATTTTTTTCAAGTCATCTGGTGAAACTGTATTATCGCAATATATATCGCAGAATAACAAAGAATCTCAATGCTCGAATTTTCCAATATTGTGCAGCCCTAGTTCTTTGCCTGGTACATTGATATTTTAGATTTTTTTTTTTCAAGAAGTAGTGATTCACACTCAAGCAGATATTATGTTTTTTTTTTTTTACCTTTTTAATTTACATTCCATAGGAAACAAAATCCCAAACCCTTTGACTTAATGCCTCACACTGAGGAAGGCATTGAGCCGAAACATTTGTGGTTTTGTTTCCTAAGGAATGTAGAATAAAGAGATAGAATATTTGTATGCGAATGGAGTGCAGATACTTTTTGAAATAAGTTATTTTGCAGCGACAACAGTCAAAAAAATCAAGACAGTAAGCTTTTAATGGGATGTGTAATAAATTAATACTACACACAAGAGCTGTTTGAGGACTAAAACATGCCAAAAGTCTTGAAATATAACATCTGAAGTTTTTTTTAGGTGTGTTAACCCTATAATAAGCAGAATCATTGCCTCCTGCTCATTGAATTATTCACAAATAATGCACAACTGCTTCAAGTTGTAACTGCGTCACCACCTAAGATGGTTTTTATTGTAATAATTCAACAGCACATCAGCAGTTATTTCTCACATCCATAGAATATTTTAAAGTTGATCAATCAATGAGGTATATGCACATGGACTTAATTTCAGCCAGCCATCCTCAGCACTTTTTTCCCTTATACAATTGTGACACTTAAGGTCTGATTTCTTTAAAATTCAGTGATCTTTACTTGCTGATAAATATACGATATGAAGTGGGTCTCAGACCAGACAAGAAGCACTGCATCAAATTCCATTTCCCCCTGCCATGTTTTTAAAATATGACAGTTTATTTTACCCCAGTATTTTGCATGGAGTTTCAGCGTTTGCCTGCTGATCGGCGCTAGCATCTCATTTACACTTGAACAACTAAATGAATGCTCAAGTCTATTTAACTGAATGCATTGTTATTACATTACAACATTGATGCTGTTAAGGAAACATTATGAAATCAAAATAATCAAATTAAGCTTTCATCGGAAGTTTATCATTGGCTGAAAAACACTAGCTGTGCATATACCCCCATTTAGAGAAATTTAAGGCACTGAAAAGGTCTTTAATGCTATTTTAAAAGGTATATTTTTGTAAAATTTTTGATTGTACAATGTATAGTTCTATGCTAAAGTTTGCATGAATTTAATCTGCGAATATGCAGATTATTATGCAGGTGCTGTGTAGTTCATGAAATCGATAAAATCCCGCCAGATTTGACAGATCTGCTTTGTTTACTGCAGTAACCAAGACAACACCTTTATTTCTGGAGTTTGGCGCCACCTGCTGGATTGGCATTTTCATTCAGTATTTGAAAAAGGTTTTAATTTAGGATTAGTTTCTTACAGCAATCAGTGTTTAGTAAATATATTTTAACTTAAAATGTCGCCAGTGTTACCAGTTGAAGCCTAAAGTTGTTTCGGGGTCATATAAGGAATGGAAAAAATCTTAAAATAGGTATTGAAATCCACTCTCTGATTCCTGTATTCCTGTATTCCTTCTTATAAATTGCTGAAAGTGTAAATTAAAATCCTGATAAATTTGAGTATTTAAAAATAGTTTTATGGAATTTTTCATTGTGGTTTCATTATATTCTTTTATGTTTGATTTTATGTTATATCCATGTGGTTGACATTTTTTATCTCCTCCAGGTGGGCATAGACTTCACAGGGTCTAATGGAGATCCCAGGTCACCAGATTCTTTACATTACATCAGTCCTCAAGGTGTGAATGAATATCTGTCAGCCATCTGGTCAGTCGGCCTTGTGGTTCAGGACTACGACAGGTAGATGAGCACAATGAGTACATTTTTTCACTTTTATTAATTTCTGAAGCTTTTATCACAAGAAACGGCACATTTTATGCACATTAGCTTAAAAAAGGGATACTTTAACTGGTGAAATGAAATCTATTTGTATCTAATGAATGAATATTTTTTTGATAAATTCTATTTTAATAGAATGTATATTTTAAGATAATGTTAGTGTATGTTTTTATTTGGGTAATAGTTGAAGGGAAGTGTATCTTTAATCAAATTAAAAGATCTTATATGAATTTTTATCAATGGCTTTAATTGGTAAATATTATTGCTGAATTTTAAATACTTGTATTTATAACTAGGGATGCAATGATACCAGTGTCGGGTCGATACTCGGTTAAAATACTCGTACTCGCATTGTACATAAAATGCCGATATCATGCAATGATACCACTCAACAGTACTTTACTACGTGGATGTGATTTGTTGTCCTGCCTGACTTCAATTAATGTATTATATATTAATACCTTAATCCTTGCATTATTAACAAATCGATACTGCAGAATAAACCGAAGATGAAAGTATGCGCATTTGTTGCAGCATGTTAAGATAAAATCGCTTAAAACATCTTAATATTTTAGAGAAAGTAGTCAAAGTCTGCTTAACCAACTAACTTATCCACCCACGACTCAACCTTATAGTTAAACTTTTTGATTACCTGACCTGCAGATTTATGGTGGGACTCGCGAGTATAATGTAAATGGTAATCGACAGAGTCTATTGATTTACAGGGTTGTCAACAATGTGTGTATGTTTTTGGCTTGGAATAGCCTTCTATTAAAAATTATTGTGTTCATCCTTGCTACAGGCAAAACATCAAACCTCCTTTCAAATTAATTGCACTTTCATTGAAACCAAATCTAAGAAGTATCGGAATCGGTACTCGGTATCTGCAAGTACACTAATTAAAATACTCGTACTCATATTGGTTTGTAAAAAAGGTGGTATCGGTTCATCCCTACTTAAAACACGTGTTGCCATGAATAAATCCAAAGCTGCTGACATGTCATTAAAGCATAAATAAAATAAATAAATAAACTACTGTAATAACAAAAATAACTTCAGTATATAAGGCTTTATTTTATATATTGTGTATTGCTTATTTTGTGTTAAGAGTTGGTATTTAAATTGTTCGAGGTCTAAAGTAAAACATGTTATATTTTACAGTAAGGCCTCATTAGTATACAATAGCTGCATTAACAAACATCAACCTACGCTATTATATTAATGTTAGTTTAAAATACCTAACTGAACTTAAATTCAAGTTACAAATGTTTAACGAGCTCTTAAAACATTAACATCACCCATTAATAAATCTTTTACAAGTGGTTTTCATAGTTAAGTTTATTTTACTAATGTTCACAAATGGAGATTTATTGTTAATTGTAAACAAGTACTAAATAAAAATATGCGTAAAAAATCTTTAGATTAACCACTGCGAAAATCTTAATAATGGAAGGCATTTCAAAGATTTAAGTAATATGTAATTTTTCAAGGTATTTTGAAGTGCCCATGGTAAAAAGAAATCATGCATGTTAGTGTTAGGTATATTGTATTATCATACCGTATATCAGCATGTCTTTTTATCATACAGTTGAATATTTTATGACTCATGCTTTCTTTTATATGCTGTAGTGATAAAATGTTTCCGGCGTTTGGATTTGGCGCTCAGATTCCACCTTCATGGCAGGTAAATAAACCAGCATCTGCTGTTTTTATTGCGTTAAACTCTCCGAATGCTCAGTTTAATGTTTTTTTTCTTTTTGTTGTTGTTTTTCTAGGTGTCTCATGAGTTTCCTCTCAACTTCAATCCTACAAATCCATTCTGTGCAGGTTTGTTTCAACAATTCTATCAGGTCTACCATCACCCACTTTCTACATATGACAAGAAATAATGTGTATTAACAGTGTTGTTTTAGCTCAAATATTGGATCATAGTGTTAACAGCGAGAAGGTTGTGGGTTTGATTCCCAGCAAATGCAAAAGCAAATTAAATGCAGGTTCCTATTTATTTAAATCTTTTTAATTGTTCTTTTGTATGACCAATGCAAATTATAGTGCAAATTAAATATTGTGACGTAAACAGTAAAGTATTGTCCATTGTTAATCCCATCCCTTAACCTCTCATTCATTAACTCAATTAACAATAAAACAGATTGCTATTTAAAGACATGTTAAGCAGCTTGTCAAGAAAAACAACACTTTAAAAAACAAATATTTAAAAGTATGAAAATAAATTTTTAAATAAAATACTTAAAAATAAATTATATATAAAAACAGTATAATATTACTAATACTAGTACGTTTTTTATTATACTAATACATTTTTATAGCTTAATATTTTATATTGGATGCTTTACAATAATATATTTGTCTATACACCTTAGATTAGTCACACTTGAGCTGTTATAACAAAAAACTACATAAATAAATTAAAATTGGTAGATCCAATATTAAATGTTAGAAAAATATCTTAAAATAACATAAAATTTAACATTCTAAAAAATGAACAGGGAAAATTTTTAGAAAAACAAACAAAAAAAAACTTTAAATTTTGTTGGAATTGGGGTTTGTATATATATATATATATATATATATATATATATATATATATATATATATATATATATATATATTGCAATAATTTGCTTGAATTTAAATGCATTATCTTTCTTTTTTTAAATGTGTTCGGCGACTAAAATTACATTTTACTGTATTTTCTGCACCGTTAGGCGCACATAAGAGCCTTAAAATTTTGTCAAAAACGGCCGTGCACCTGATAATCCGGTGCCCCAACTGCGCCAAGTTAAGAAGACGAACCAGAGTTTCCACGAGAACAAAGCGAGGGGGCCACAGTTAAAAGACCACTTGAACAAGGGATTATTGAAGAAAGAACAGCTTCCGTTACATTTTTTTGTAGATTGTATGTTTTAGCATGCGCCTTATAATGCGGTACACCTTATGTATAGGTTAAGTACAGAAATAGACCCCGTAATTGAGACTTCATTTTATAATCCGGTGCACCTTATGGTGTGGAAAATACAGTATATAAATATATCTGTTTAATAAATCTGTTTTGTTCAAATGTACCAAAATATATTACCTATATTCGCTGAGAAATTGATACAAATATTAATTTTCAAAATGTACTCATATATGCTGAGCACTGTATATATATATATATATATATATATATATATATATATATATATATATATATATATATATATATACAATATAATATATGTGTGTGTGTGTGTTCATGTGTGTGGGTGTGTTTGTATGTACACAACAAAAAATGTGAACAAAATTATTAATTTACAAAAATTATGTATTTACAGTATTATTGCTCAAGAAATTAATGATAACAGTAATAATAATTAACAGTCAAAGGTTTGATTAAAACATGCACACTTTCAATGCAAATGTTACTCGCTTAAGGTAAAAGCATGAATAAATATAACAGAAAGTTGCATTGATGTTTCCATAGGTGTGGAAGGTGTGATTGAGGCCTACAGGATGTGCCTTCCTCAGGTCAAACTTTACGGCCCTACCAACTTTGCTCCTATCATCAACCATATGGCTCGTTTTGCACAGCAGGCGTTACAGCAGAAAACGGCATCGGTAAGATTGAGGTCAAACGCACAATGATCCACCCATGCTTGATGCGTCTCTGACTTCACCTCTCTTTGTTTCAGCAATACTTCGTCCTGCTGATCATAACAGACGGAGTGATCACTGATATGGATCAGACGCGTGGGGCCATAGTTGCTGCCTCACGCTTGCCCATGTCCATCATCATCGTCGGCGTAGGAAAAGCTGATTTTACAGACATGGAGATTCTGGATGGAGACGACGGACGATTGAAGTCTGTCACTGGAGAACCGGCCGTACGAGACATCGTGCAGTTTGTGCCCTTTAGAAAGTTCCAGAACGTGAGTTTGAGGAGTTTTGTGCACTTTTTAAGCCTGCTTTGGCGTTGGCACTTTCTTTTTGGGCTCTGTCTCTCTCAGGTCTTTAATTTGGATTTATACTACAGTTTGAAAAGTTTGGGGTCTTTAAAACATTTATAATAGATTTTTGTGAGAAAGAAATTTTATTAAAAATAATACAAAAAACAAATGTAACTGACCCCAAATTTTTGAATGCCAATTTACTGTATATTGAGCATATTATTCCAAAGGGTATCTATTATGCTCTTTTACAATGTCCCGGTTCTGTTAAAAGGATGTACTAGAACTTGCTCTCATGCTTGGTGTTTCAAAATACAAAATAATTTTCATTACCACACCACCTGACAAAAATCTAATAATAGATCATAAACAAATAATAGCTTGACTTCTAGTTGATCATTTCGAAAAATGGCAGAAGGTAGATTTTTCTGATGAGTCATCTGCATCCCAATCATCACAAATACTGCAGAAGACCTATTGGAACCCACATGGACCCAAGATTCCTATAGAATCAGTCAAGTTTGGTGAAGGAAAAGCCATGGTTTGGGGTTACATTCAGTATGGGGGCGTGCGAGAGATCTGCAGAGTGGATGGCAACATCTACAGCCTGAGGTATTAAGACATTTGTGCTGCCCATTACATTACAAACCACAGAAGAGCGTACATTCTTCAGCAGGATAGCGCTCCTTCTCATACTTCAGCCTCCACATCAAAGTTCCTGAAAGCAAAGAAGGTCAATGTGCTTCAGGATTGGCCAGCCCAGTCACCAGACATGAATATTATTGAGCATGTCTTGTGTTAGAAGGAAGAGACATTGAAGATGAATCCAAAGAATCTTGATGAACGCTTTCTTTGCCATTCCAGATGACTTTATTAATATGTTATTTGAGTCATTGCAGAGATGTATGGATGCAGTCCTCCTGGCTCATGGGAGTCATACACAATATTAATTCTTTTTTCCACTGCAGCATGACTTTATATTTAAAACTGTACATTATTTCTGTTAGTGACCAGACTTTTGTCTCAGCAAAGTCAGACCTTACTGTCCTAAATAAATAATTTGGAGGCCTTTGCTTTTCATATAAGTCACTTCTGGATCTACTAGAACTTGGTCACATCACATCAACTAGAAGTCAAGTTATTACTTGTTGTTCCTAAAACTTGGATAGGCGACAAGACTTTTGTCAAGTAGTGTGCAATATCATTCTTCCCAGCCTGGCACTTGATTTAGTTCAAAAACTAAAAAATCTAAGTGTATTATGATTGGTCAGCCCCTTTGTTGTTTTGCCCCTCCCCCATCCATTGGAATTTGCATAGCGGGGATTTGGTCCAATTTGAGACATCATAAACCCCACAAAAATCACTTGTAGTCCAGACGAGTTGTTGGTTGTAGTTCTTTATATATATATATATATATATATATATATATATATATATATATATATATATATATATATATATTTTTTTTATTATTATTATTATTATTTTTTTAAACTAAATATCTCCCTTTACAGTGGACTTTGAAATTTTTGATCTTTTGCATGGCCAAACATACACACTACACCCTGACACATGCAAAAAGTGAAAAAGCATAATAGGACCCCTTTGAATGGGATTTTAAAGGAAAGACCGAGAAATAATTAGAGCATTGGTTTTCTCATTACCAGTGATACTCCAGTTTTTTATACATATGATATAAACGTATCTAAAAGCTAATGTTTAAGTCTAAACATTAAATTTCCAGGCTTTTGATGAAGACATATTTTAGAAAAATTACTATTCAGTTACCAAATGATTAGACACTTTCAACTAAAACAATTAACAACTGAAAAAAAACATGAAAGTCTTTGAAAATATATGTAGTTTAGACATGACCGTTTATTCATCAGTTTTAACAAATCATTTTTTAACTGAAAGATACTGTATGAACAGCTATTTGGTAACTAATCTAAGGTCTCAAGACTAAATACTTGCAGTAACAGATAAAACATGACGGAATAATTCTGATATATAAATACTTTAGTGAAATCAACTGTGCAGAAAAGTGAATGGAAACAGTTCCCAGCCCTACTCGGTTCTTTCTGCCAGTATACTTTGAGCAGAGCAGAACACAATTCAGTTTTACATTTAGATACGCAAAAATGAAAAAAAGATCATTTACTCACCCTCAAGTTGTTCTAAACTATTTTGGAAAATACTGATAACAAGTGTTTTTATAACATTATAATTGAAATTATAATCATATAATAATTTAATTATTATTTTATTGGTATTGGTTCATCAAGAATTAAATTATGGGTCATTTCTCCAGTTCAATCCCTTTCAGTTGTGCCATTATCCTAAATATCGGTTATCAGGTATTGGGCAAAATATCTTTATTAATGCTTATGTAGTTTGGTCAATACCGATCAGTTAATAATTATGGGTTGTTAGATGCTTTATTCTCCTAGGTATTGGTTATCTTTCTCCAAATCTTTGGTTATAATTGTCTAAAAATTCCAAATCAGTGCATCCGAAGTTTCCAATATCAGTCAGTTAATGGGTTGTTTCTGCCAGATTTGATTTACTTTAGATGCTTATTGTCTTTAATATTGGTTATCTTCCTCTAAATATTTGGTTATCAATATTGGCTAACTTTTCTTTATTAGTACATCTGAAGTTACCAATATTGATCAATTAATGAATATAAGTTATTTCTGCCACTTGATCCACTTAAATTCTTTATTGGCTGAAATATCAGTTATCTTCTTCCAAATATTTGGTTATTAGGATTGGCCAAAATTTTCATATCAGTTCTTCTGTAGTTACCAATATAAGTCTTTTGACAATTAAAAATTATTTCTGCCACTTGATCCACTTTAGTTGCTTTATTAACCTAAATATTGGAAATCTTCTGCCAAATATTTGGTTATTAGTATTGGCCAACATTTCCATATCAGTGCATCTGTAGTTAGCAATATCGGTCAGTTAATAATTATGAGTTATTTCTGCCAGTTGATCCACTTCAGATGCTATATTGGCCTAAATATTGGTTATCTTCCTCCAAATATTGGGTTATCTGTGTTGTTTAAAATTTCCATATAAGTGAATCTGTCGTAACCAATATTGGTCAATTAACAATTATAAGTCATTTTTGCCAGTTCATCCACTTTAATTTCTTTATTGGCCTAAATATCGGTTATCTTCCTCTATATATTTGTTAATCTGTATTAGCCAAAATTTCCATATCAGTGCATCTGTAGTTACCAAATATCAGTCAATTAATAATTGTAAGTTATTTCTGTCAGTTGATCCACTTGAGTTGCTTCCTTGACTTAAATATCGGATATCTTCTGCCAAATATTTGGTTGTCAGGATTGGCCAAAATTTCCATATCAGTGCATCTGTAGTTAACAATATCGGTCAATTACAAATTATGAGTTATTTCTGCCAATTTATCCACTTTAAATTCTTTATTGGCCTAAATATCGGTTATCTTCTTCCAAGTATTTGGTTATAGGTATTGGCCAAAATTTCCATATCAGTGCATCTGTTGTTACCAATATCGGTCAATTAATAATTATGAGTTACTTCTGCTAGTTGATCCACTTTAGGTGCTTTATTAGGCTAAATATCGGTTACTTTCCTCCAAATATTTGGTTATAGGTATTGGCCAAAATTCTCATATTACTGCATCAGTAGTTACCAATATCAGTCAATTAATAATTCTGCCAGTTTATTCACTTTAGATGCTTTATTGGCCGAAATATTGATTATTCCTAGCTACTAGACTCGGCCAATAAATTATGGGGTATTTCCGCTAGTTGATCCACTTCAGACAGGATACTGTTGAGAACAACTTGAGTAAAAGTAAATGATGACAGGTAATTTTTGCGTTGAATACCTAATACAGCATGCCATGGCTTCTAGCTTCTCACCTGTGCCTTTGTGTCCATTTCATTTCAGGCGCCCAGGGAAATGCTTGCCCAGTGTGTACTAGCAGAATTACCCCAACAAGTCACAACCTACTTCAGATATATAAACCTGTCACCTCCGAACGAGCCAAAACATTCATAGACATGTAGGGCTCTCTTCTTTATCTGCACCTGACCAATGCCATGCTCATGTCTATATGTTTTACCTCTTATCAATGCATTCTGCTGTCAGATCGGATGTTGCTTTTTGTTAAGACTACACCATCAACCTACTAAAAGCTGGTCTAAAGACAGTGAAGTTTTTTATTTGTTTTTTTAAAGAGCATGTTAGTGATGAGCATCTATAGGTGTCAGCAACATGCATACACATTACTTATTACACACACAGGGATGCACAGCAGCACACAAGCATCTTTAAATGTGAAAAAAATAAATGTAAAAGATTATTATTGTTTACATAAATTTGAAAACTGCCTACATGTCATAATGGATAATTATTGCATGTGTCAAAATTAGCCCAACTACCTATTTAAAGAGAGAATGAGATCAAAATTAGAATTGCCGATCCATTTCCTCGATATTAAAGCATTCTGTTTTTTACAAAGTCCACCATGTGATTAGTGAATCCACAATGGCACGACTGAAACTCGCTCTAAAAAGGAATGGAATGAAAGGATGAGAATCTGATTGGTTTAATGCAGGTTACACCCAGAACACACCCTTACGTCATTAAGAGAATAAGGACAGCCCTTTTAGACCATGCACCTTGCAAATTGCCCATTTCTCCATTGCTTAAAATAGCAAAAGTGAATTGTTCGATTCTTAAATAGATTAGGTTAGTGCTTGGATTGTTAAAATCGAGTGCCTGATGTTTGTATATGTGTATAATGACCAGTGGTGGAAAAAGTACTGAAAAGTCATACTTGAGTAGAAGTACCATTACTTGCCTAAAAATGTAGTGCAGTAGAGTAAAAGTATCTGTTGTAAATATTACTATTTAAAGTATGAGTAAAAACCCTTACCCTGACCCTTGACCTTTCAAAAGTACTCAAGAGTAGTGAGTATGATGCAAAAGCTGATGCATTTACATGTAGTTTGCGGATGTGTGTGTAAACGTAACATTCTGTAGTGCATTTAGCTATTGCCCAGCAGGCACACGGCGTCATAAGATGCTAATACTAGGTTAGATTTTGGTCGTGACGTCATGTGACCAAAATTCAATGTCTAGCCAGCATCTAAGGACAGCGTTATTTTGATGTCCAATAATGACGTCAAATGATATTGATCTTTGGTTGATTTTAGGTTGTGTTTGAAAGTAACCAAAATTCAGCATCGAGGCAACATCTTAAATCAAAGCCATATTGACGTTAAATACTGACATTTATTCATCAGGTGTGACAACCAAAATTCAACGTCTGAAAAATGTCATAGTGGTAACGTCCACACAACGCCAAGCTGTGACATCATTAGATGTTGATATTTGGTTGATTTTAGGTTGGACATTGATGTTGACCTGACGTTAAGTTCTGACGTCAACCCGATTTTTTTTTTTTTTTTGTTCCAAACAGTATAACGTCCCCACGACGTTGGGGTACAACGTCAATCTGTTGTCATGTTGATGTCTTGTACCTGCTGTGTGTTTAAGGCCATTTCGGTCATCATACAGTAAACATCCATCATCTAAACCAGGGGTCACCAAACTTGTTCCTGGAGGGCCGGTGTCCTGCAGATTTTAGCTCCAACCCTAATCAAACACACCTGAACAAGCTAATCAAGGTCTTACTAGGTATACTTGAAACATCCAGACAGGTGTGTTGAGGCAAGATGGAGCTAAACCCTGCAGGGACACCGGCCCTCCAGGACCAGGATTGGTGACCCCTGATCTAAACAGTCTCTGGGTCAGTGGGTGTAAAGATTTTGGACGTCTTCTTGGACACTATTAATGCTTCCAAACAATTTGCTGCAATGATAAATCCCCCATGTCTTAAGGTAGATCATTATGATGTGATTTCCCTTCTATGTGCGATTTGATTGGACGGGAATCACAGGACTGATTTTTCTAATCCCCATAGACATGAAGAAATAAAGTAGTGACTGCAGGTTGAAGGAAAGTAGTGGTGTGAAAGTACCAATTGTGCACTAAAAATAAAGTCAAGGGAAAGTAAAAGTACACATTTTAAAACAACTTTTAAAAATTACAATTCCTGAGAAAAACTACTCAATACCGTAATTTGAGTATTTGAAATTTGGATAACAAGTCATACATAATTATTATAGTCTTAAATGCAGTGGTTTTATTGGCTGTTGTGCTTGCTGACTTGATCAAACTGTGCATGCTGACACTATCAAATTTCACACATTTCATTTAAAAATATTTTTGGCTCATACATGCATCATTTTTGAATAACAGCTTAAGCTTCATGTCGTCTGCACTATTGTCTCCTAAACAACATGTATCTTAACTTCCCTCACCGTCCCTGAACATAATCTACTGCATAAAGCCAAACACACAATAACTGACATTTTCTCCTCTCTTTAAAGTCTCCAAAGGAGGAACTTGCCAAATGTGTCCTGGCAGAGGTTCCTGGTCAGGTCGTTACCTTCTTCAACATGATGAAGTATCCCCCTCCTAACTCAAACACTCCAGTGGATGCTTCAAATGGGGTGAAAAACTGACCGGCCCAATTCCTTGCTTCATACCGCATGCAACTGGACGACAAGTGTAGGCTTTCTTAAAGAGGTAGACCACTAGACGAATTAGGTTTGGTTTTAGAGCATTATATATTTATTTACATGATTTCATGTGCCAAATGACCATGGAACGATCTATTACGGATTTCGTTTGGACTTAAGAGCCACTAAAAGAAGACACGCTAGATCAGGGGGGTCCAAACTCGATCCTGGAGAACCGGTGTCCTGCATATTTTTGCTCCAACATCCTTCAACACACCGGCCTGGAAGTTTCTAGTAGACCTAGAAAGAGCTTGATTAGCTAGTTCAGGTGTGTTTAATTGGGGTTGGCACTAAAATATGCAGGACACCCGCCCTCCAGGACCGAGTTTGGACACCGCTGCCCTAGACAAAAGAATAGAAAGGAAATCATGTTAATGTTGCAGGTGAGATCTATTGAATAGTATGAAGGCATTTTAAAATTATGGTGAGTTTCATTCCTTTTTACAAAATTGTTTACAGTTAGCATGATTTAGAAACTGTCAGTATCATAACACGTTCCTGTAGACCATTTTTTATATCTATAAATATGATTTTTTTTTAAATCAGTGCCTCATAAAGCTATATTGACGTGTCACATTTATGCAATGATGTGCCTTATTGTTTAAGTAGCGTTTTCTGTATATAAACCTGTGCCTATATATGTTTGATTTAAATTTATGGAGAATCAATTTGCAGCTTTTTACATGCCAATTTTTTTATGTTTGACCACATATACCTGCGATCACTAAGAAATGGTGCTGCTCAGATGTCAATTTGTATGTATAAATCAAAGCCATAAGAGATACTGACGTCTGGTTGGTTAGTGTTCCTGAGTTGTGCCTGAATATGGTAATAGTAATCATAATACTCAATCAGTATTGAATGTTCAGAGGTGCACAAAGAAATTTAATTTGGTCACCATACCAGCCCATTTTACTGGTTATAGGCTAAGAGGAATATAATAGATGATCTCAACTACATTTAAATTGCAGCTATTTTTCTATTATTTTCATTAGACATCTTTGTGTTGGCATGGTTACATATTAATGTAATGTCTTTAACTCGTCATTGTTTTGCTGATGTACAGCCTGTAGCATGCCTTGTTCCCCATACAGTAAATAAATCACCAAAACAAAGCGTTGATTATTGAAGACTAATTGAGTAATGATGACAGAACGAGATGGTGTGTACTGAATGTTTATTTTTATGAAAAACATTGACATATTTACAGCATACAAAGGCCAGAAAACTCATTCATCAAGATGCTGCTAGAATATAATAGCTTAATGTAAATGGAAAACAAGGTAAAATGTGCAAATTGAAGTTTCTCTCAGTCAGTTTTATTCACATTTCTGTAGATCTGAGTCAGATAGATAGATAGATAGATGATGGATAGATAGATAAAAGAATGTCATTGATGGATGGTGTAATGGATGGATGGATGGATGAAATGAAAGGATGGAAAAATAAATGTTATTCATAGATGGAAGGATAAAAAAATATCATAATTACTGGGTATTATGGGTGAATAATGTAGTTGATGGGTAGACGGAGGATGAAATGGATCGGATGGATGGATGGAAGATGTCATGTATGGTATATAAAATGAAGTGAAGGACTGATGGATGATATGGATGGATGAAAGCATAGACAGACAGACAGAGAGATAGATAGACAGATAGATAGACAGATAGATAGATAGACAGATAGACAGATAGATAGACAGACAGACAGACAGACAGACAGACAGACAGACAGACAGATAGATAGATAGATAGATAGATAGATAGATAGATAGATAGATAGATAGATAGATAGATAGATAGATAGATAGATAGATAGATAGATAGATAGATAGATGGATGGATTGATGGATTGATGTATGGATATATAGATAGAGCAATTGATGGATTATGTAATGGTGGATGGATGGACTGGCAGATGAATGGACTGATAGATCTCTTTAATTCTTTTTTTCCGCTGCTTGAGCCTGCAGGATAGAGAAAGGGCATTACTTCAGATCTCTTCATTGCTGTTTTAATTTGTTCAAAGTTTCCACAGTCCAAACCTGCAGCCAATCCACAGGCAGACCCATCCTGCTTTACCATTAAACCCCTGAACAGATCAACACACACCTTCAGCTTGTCCAGCAAACCTCCTTTCCCGAATCCTCCAAAAGCACGCAACATTTTGGGAGTGGGAGGTTTGGGTCCAAACAAAGCCAATCCCTTCTTCTTCTCTCCTTCATCCTTTGTAGGAGCAGCTTTGCCTTTGGCCTTCATCAGTTTCCTGAGGAGCATCAATCAGCCATTATTGTAGACTCAGCACAATAAAATAAGTTCTTGAATGGTTCTAGTTGACCTCACCGTCCTTTCTTGGCCAGGACTTTTTGAGACTCTGGGTAATGGATCAGGATGTCATTGAGATCTTTCTTATCCAGCACGAAGAGGTTGGCAAATCCATGAGCAGCAACGTTTGCAGTTCTTCTGTTTCCGCCATCTTTTGCCGACTGTAAGAGACTGAAAAAAAAAGACAGTTCTGTTGTTGTAGTGCCATGCTTGTGGGCAATTTATCATTGACATTATTGTTAAATAGAAAAAAAAAAGATAGATGGATAGAACGATAGATGGATAAAATGATAGATGGATAGAAAGGTGGATGATGATGGATTTATTAAAAAAAGAGATAGATAGATAGATAGATAGATAGATAGATAGATAGATAGATAGATAGATAGATAGATAGATAGATAGATAGATAGATAGATAGATAGATTGATTGAACGATAGATTGAACGATAGATTGAACGATAGATTGAACGATAGATTGAACGATAGATGATGGATGGATTTATTAAGAAAAAGTATACATGGATGGATGGATGGTTTTATTGATAGTTGATAGATAGATAGATAGATAGATAGATAGATAGATAGATAGATAGATAGATAGATAGATAGATAGATAGATAGATAGATAGATAGATAGAT